ATCAAATACTTACACCAGATTCAGGATTTTCACTTCCCGTCCGTCTCGGGCTGAGGTTCTTGAGAACTTCGGATTAGGATTCAGCCAACAAGAAATAGTATGAGCATGAATTTTTTTCTCTTGGGATGAGTTCTCATATACCGACATTTGCTATCACGTTCAGTTCCGGCGTTCAAATGCCTGAGTAAGCCTTGGATATCGCGGAAGCGATTGCGATTCGCAGCGATTCCTTCGTCATCAGTATTAGCTTACCAAAGTGTTTGGGCGTTTCTCACCCGAATCTTCGTAAATTGTGGACACGCGACCCACTACAGCATTCGTTACTGAACCCTTATACTCAATGAATATGCATCAGCTGCGATTTGCCTTCGTGAGCTTGAGCGAGGGCGTTGCCATCTGATCGTCTTGATCATTCCCAGATTTGAACAAGAGTCCCCCTCATACTCTCGGGTGCGAAGAGATAGCAGATAGAGGATGCGAGTACGGAGTCCTCTGGAGATCGAGCGGAACAAGGAGCTGGAAACGAATTTCGAGCCTCCACCCTGCGGATCAGCCACGCCCTGACCGACCAAGAGGGGGATTCTCGTCTGCGAGATCTTTCTCAAGAAAGTAGGTACTGCGTGTTTCTTTAGTGACCAGCAATCAAGTCAATCTCCATCAGAGTAGATACTCGAAAAATTCACCGTCCCTTCCCTCCGTCAGGGGGAAGGCTGATGATTGGCCGCGTGTTACGCATCAATCGTCAACTATTCCGGGCACGTACGCCCTACTGCTGTCATCCGATTGATGATCTTATTGAAATAGACATCACCAACAGCAAATCACCGACAGGTTGAGCACTACCGGCCTACAGGAACGTATTAATCGAAGAAGAAATTCTGTCAAGACGGACGACCTCGCTTCCACGCGTGGAATTCGCGGATCCTCCTCGCATAGCTCGCTGTGAATTGTTTCTGACTTGCGAAGCGGAATGTGGGAGAAATGAATTGGAGGCTCGGATGCGAAGAGATTCTCTGGGTTGATCCGCGTCATCGATTCCTGTTTTCGCGAGCCGCGAGTATCAGAAGTAGACGAGAGCCGTTTTGTCGGGAGAGCTCCTCGACTGCCGGTGGAAGTGAAAAGAGAGGATCGGAGAGCGAATAAAATAATTATTTATTTGAGATCTTCTCGGACCCCAGGCTCTTCCATGAGGATGGGAACCTCTTCCGAAACGATCAATCAGTCAGACGGTCAGAGACGAGCGAGCCCTTGATCCGTGGTTGAGGGCCGACTGAGATTCAAGTTTGGAAAAGAGAGGCCATCCCGTCGTTTTCTACGGCTCATCCTCACAAACGAGTATTCCATCCCCCGAGACTTCAATGAGGAGGTCAACGGAAGTCATAAATTCACCCTTCTACCTAGCTGTAGCACTGTACGTCTCGATCGAGTCGACGATTTTTACAGAGCTGTGCAGTTGACTTTTTTCGACAATCGAGCAAAGCTCAAGTCCTCAGGTGAAATGTTGATATCGGCTGAATTATCCGTCACGCACACCCACCGGGACTCATGTCTCATGTCCCTCATTGAGGCGTATGTACCGGATTTCGATCTCTGATAGGTGGAGGTTTCTCTGGGTATTAATTCTCCTGATATGTGAGCCACCGAATCATCGTGTTGTTCTCCTAATCGAAATCTTCGCCGATTTCGTCGTCGTTGCTTGATCGTTCCGTTTGTCGGCCTGTCGATATATCTCTCGACGTAACTGTCCAATTTGTCTCTCTGTTTTGCGTGGCTATAGACAGAACGGCCGCCGCCACCGTCGTTGTTGTTTCGGATGTTGTTGTTGTTGAGGTTGTTGCTATCGTTGTTGTTGGTTGGACGGCTCAGAGCCCTCCTGTGGCTCCGCCCACAGCTGAGGGTAGGGAGGAGCTTCGACAGGCGTCAATGCTCCGCCTCGCATCGGAAGGGACAGCTTGTGAGAAGTCTTGGACGTCCGCAGAGAGCAGCGCTGTCAATTCATATTTGATCGAATCCAGCCAAAGCTGCCGTTCGCTCGTTCGGTCTTTCGTTCGTTCGTTTGTTGTGGATCGCAGGCTATCGCTCATGCTCCTTCTGCTGTTCCGTTCGGCTGCGTGCGTTCGTTGCGAACATCGGCTTTTTTCCCGAGTTTTATGAACTATCGGGGGAGAAGGCCCCCTCTGCTGCATCAGAAAACTGTTTCTGCCGTGATTTGACTCGATGGATGATTTCCGATCGGCACGTAGTCTCCGATAAGCTCGTAAGTTGATGTCTCCCATTTTCCTCAACTAGCTCATCCGGAGCACACGGCTCGCGGAAACAGAGATTTCTTGTGGAGCCTCGGGTATCTGACATGCTGGAGGCGGTTGGGGAGGAAGTCAAATTGATTTGAAACTCCGCAATTCGCGAAAGTCCAAAGTGGTTTGGCTCATTGAAGGAATCGAAAGCTTGCCGCGGCTCGACTCGCTGACTCGGGGAGACTTTGGTCGCTTTCCGGGAGAGGTGGAATGTGGAATTATTGCTTTTGATCAATGTCTCTAATCGGTACCGTGTTCCTCGAGTAGACCTTTGACCAGTGTACAGATAGCGCACTCACGATACGATCGTCCCAGAGCGAAAGATATCAGATTTGGTTTTGCGGGGGCGGAAATGCTCGCTCGACTTCCTCATCTCTGTCGACGATGGATGCTCTAGAAAGTCGAGTGCCGCTGAGAGTAGCAGATGCTCAGGGAGCGCGTTGCTGACAGGTCCAAAAAACTCGGTACTAGTTGCATTCCGCTGATATCAAAAAGTGAAGAAGTGTTCTCGGCCTCGTACCTGCGGTCGCTCATCCGTCAGACGGCTGAAAAAACGTTCTTCAGCGGATTTAATCTTCCGGATACGGGCTGTTCAGGAGAGCGTACATCTCCACAGGAAGCTATCTTTCCAGTCGGAAAGCGGCTCAGAATCAATACTTGCGTCAGATAGTTCATTGGATTATGGAGGGCTCCATCAGACTCGAGCGCTTGTCGAAATTTATCGTCGGCTGCGAGCCGCCGGTCCCCGATCTTCGGACACCCATAATGAAGCCCCGGATGGGTCTTCCCGTGCGTCCGTCGCGGATCTCTGTTTCGGGGAGACCCAGTTCTTCTCATTTGGAATCTGCAAGCATATCCTGACTCGGAGATTCGATCGCATTGCACAGAAAAATCCGTGCGAAGTACGAGTTCCTACGGCGACCTTTGCCGTATCGGCGGCAGCTGACTTCTTTTCTGAGCGAGCCGCTTGGCGTTCTTGAGAACATGCCATTCAGAGAAAACATGAGAGGGAACGAACAAATGGATATCACTCTTTTGGTTCGACCATTATAAGAATCCGTGCGTTGCTGTGCAGCATTGCAATAAACAGATCATTACAAAAGGAATTCCGCATTCGAGCGTGGGTAGGGCCGCTGACTTTCGACTGAACGGTACGTTTGCTGACCTCAGGACAGTAGCAATCAGCCCGACTGGACACGGTGGAATGAACTAACAATCGCGCTCGGAATGAACTAGAAATTATACAGGCATTGATCTACCGTCTGTTCCGTCTGTTTGCATCGAATATCTGATCTGATTCCGGGATCCAAATTCGTCGCGTAATTCGGAGCTTTCTCCCTCTGACCGAGAGTCAGCTGTGCATTTTCTTCTGAGCAAAATCGATCCGAAAGCGACGAATTCGCTCATGTGATCGTTAGCGTTCCCCGACGGTAAGAAATGCAAACACAGAATCGTTCCCCGATCGATTTGAAAATATCCTGCGATCTTGTCCGAATTTCTATTTAGCTTCATGCTCTCGGTGGTCTTCACCGTATCTATGAGAGATTAACTCGATTGGTCTTCGGTGACTCGAGTGCCGCAGCGAGACGATCGCGACGGCGCACTGACGGCCATGAAACAATGAACCGCACGGACCAGGAGTGCCAAGTATCGTACGTAAGCGCGGTAGCGTGGCCCTCGGCAGAGTCGTCAACGCGAAGTTCAACGAAGCATGGGATGTCCCGAATGAGGCGTCTGGCTGCCTGTGTATCGGATCCGATTTGCATGAAGAACAAGGTGGTGATCATTTGCGCGCCGCGGTCAAGCACCTCCAAACGAGATGGTTGGTCACAACAAGTCGTTCGTTCACTACACACAAATCGCTCAGACTTAGTACTCTTCAGCGAGAGCAGCTATTTGTCCTAAATGCGATATGGGTTCATGTAGTATGACGCAGCGCTCGCGCTGCGGGAAGGCACTTGAAGCGTAAGTCTTTGCAAATGATGCGATACGATATGGCTGTGAGTCTGCAAAACCAGCCAGAACAGGTCGGAGAATCTCTTCGATGCTCAAAAAAAACCGCCCCGAAGCTCGCGCGACCTCCGCTCTGTGCTGGCGAAGAGAATAAGTGAAAGAAAAAGGAATAAGTGAAATTTGTCAGATCAGCGAAATCCACGACCGAGAAGTCGTCCATGCGACTGTAATCAAAGTAATTTCGAATTGTCATTACGGGCACGATTTCTGCACAACCGGCCGGAGAGATACTTTCGAATTCTTCTCTCACGACTCGGGGTGCATTATCCGTGAGATGCGACAGACAGGCGGACGGACGGGCAGCCAGGTAGGCCGCCAGGCAGGCAGGCGGATGGCATGTCGAGGGACATCTCTGCAGTCATTGACACAGCACCCGAGGTTCGGTAGGGGTAATTCACCCACTCTTCGACGAATTCTCTCTAACTAAGCTCGGATCTCTCTCGTTTCAGCTCGTCCCACGAAGAATCGCGGAGCTACGATTCGAACTCGAGCTTTCCCGCGGCACGGAATACGGCCCTTGGGAACGGGAGATTTGGTCGGCACCGACGGAGTCAGTGTTTCAAGACCGTGGCCGCGTGGGATACTCAATTCTACCTCGTAGCAGATCGGACTTCCACGGCCGCCAACGAGCCATCGAAGGCTCTTTTTGGCCAAGTCGCTCCGAAAGTGGACCGATCCGGACTTGGACTAGGCATGGTTCAGGCTGGTCTGGGTTCTCCGGAAATCCCGGAGCGCGAGCGTCACATGGACAAAAGCTGCTCGCCGAGTCTTGCAGAATCCAACTACGCGCTGCTCGAAAGCCATGTTGGATCCAAACTCAAGAGTCAGTTCACACCCGTTCATCACCAAAGTTCCGCTAATCAAGACTGGGATATCAACGATAACAATGTGCCAAAAGTAAGTTCACGCTTCTCGTCCGCTATTCGCTGCCCTCGAGCTCCTAGGAGATGCTGGGGAGAGGAGGGGTGGGGGGCTTCTTGTCCGAACGATCGGAGATCAAGAGAGATACGTGTAAGTGTAGATCCTCGCTAGGTCAGAAGCGGCGGCCGCCACAACGGCAGAGGCAGCGGCAGCGATAGCGAGCTGGTATGGTGGGCTTAGGAACCCGCATCTTATGCTGACATCTGCCGCCTTCTACTATAGATGGCCTCACGGCGACGTCTTCCCGAGAGGGGACCAGCGAGCTCCGGCCTCTTCATAACTACGCCATATTAGTCCATCTTTGTCCTATCTTCCCTCAATTGAGCGCATCATCAGCATTTCATCTGGTTCGTCGGAGACTTCCTCGAATGTCCCGAACTGAAACCTTCTGCGACTATTTCTTCGGAACTTGCGTATCTTTGATATTATTTCTGGATCCTCGAGCATTTGAGTCACGAATTGATGCAAGCAGCTGCTTTCTCGCTGATGGATAAATCGCTAATCGAGCTAGCTCGCGCGATTCGTCCGTCGGTGTATTGCTACGAAAATCACGTATTTTTCGTGACCGTGCTTACTTACGACTCTCAGTTACTTATGGTCTGCGTGCCCGTGCTATCCCTCTCGAAGGAGTTTCACGTGTGAGACTTTGGGAGAAGGGTGCATTCTTCGGCTGCGAACGGTTGCGGTCTCGAGGGAGGAAAGAACTTCTGGAGCTCCCGAACCGACGGACTGACTGAATGAGTGAGTGACGATATGTAGTGAATGTCACCACAAGCGATACATCACGCTGAGCTCGCAGCCGGGGGCTCGGTAGTCGTGCAGCACGGCAGAGGACCTTCCTATTGAATCATTCGTCGTTGTCGGCAGCTCATCGCTCAAGCCGGCCCGTTCGATGCGACAATCACGTCCTCGAGTCGAGTTAGAGCCTGACATAATAATTTCTCGGGTCTCGAGTTTGTGGTTTCGGGTCCACGAACTCTCCGCTGAGCTGTTTCCGGGAGGTGCCCCGGATTCATTATTGTCATGCTCATTCCATCGCTTTCGCGATCTTATTATGGAGCGGTCTGCCGGGACACAAAACAGGTATCACGTCAAGCTGTTCATCTAAACTTTGATCGCAATGCTCGGATGCTCTTTTCGCGCCCCGACTATTGTAGTGCATTTAGTCAGTGTAGAGGACGCGGATCCAATCTCAATGTTTGATCTGGAGCCAACAAACGTCATTCTCGAATTTCGTGTCGTTGTCGGAGCTAGAGATGATATCTTGGTCTTGTTCACACATTTTCAACTAATACGACGACGAAGAAAGCCATGACGACAACTAGAGGCGTTTTGTGTCATATGCAAACAGCGGTAGCTCAGGTAGGAGGTTTTTGGGGCGTTGAGGGGCGTCCATGAGAAGCGGGCGACAATTTCGTGACCAAGATCGTTGTATTCGTCAGATCGCCCGTTCAACTCTTGTCTAACCTCAAGCAAATTGAGCATCGTCGGATCTGCGTCTGCGTCCCCGGGGTTCATCGGCGACGAGGACGTCGTCGACGTCGTCGTTGTTGAAGCCTCAACCCTACCGACGGACTTCCGAAGAATCTTCGCTTGAGACGGCGGCGCGCCGCTTTGATTGCGTCCAAGTTCGGTAATATGGAAACAAGCTTCCGTGACTCGCGCTCGCCTGTTCCGATATAAAGGTCTGTGAACGATACCGAGCAACAATAGTGAAGAGTTAGCAGAAACACGATCGTTCGTCCGCTCGGTCGAGGGCCAGACTCCGATCATGTCGTCGTGGTCTCGAACAACAGCACCCTATCATACTGCGACGCAACGGCCTTAATGATTTCGTCTTGCCTGAAATGGACCGGAGTCGATTTCTACAACAAATAATGATGAATGAAAAAGCTGAGGACGATACTCTCGTCCCGGGCACGAGTGTCTCGCTGTCTCAGTCAGACGAGCCTTTTGGTTTTGTCGTCGTCATGATGGATGCTGCTTCAAAGAATCATTTTCTCGGCTTCCAAACCTATCTCCAGACGATTTCTCCTCTCCGATGTCCACCCTCCTTTCGTTCATCGAAGGCGACGAGCTCTGAAAAGAGTGGATTCGTCCCCGCGCATCGAATCTGCATCTATTTGTTCCCTGTGTTCGCACCCTTTGACCGTGTTTATCGTCACCATGCAGTCCTCGCGGCAACTATCGACGCTACAATCGACTAATCCTGTATCAGTCGGCTCCGGGCTCGATAGTTAGGGTGTAGGATGCAGCAGCCCATTAATTTCCACTATAAGCCTCCCCCTTAAAGCCTGTTAAGCTGCAATTGACAGTCGTATAAGTGGCGCCAAGAGCAGCGGTATCGAAAGAGTATCGGCCATCACCTCGAGGACGAAAACGGAAGGACACTCACTGCATGGTCGAGCAATGTCGACCGTGTTTTTGTTTTTTTGTTTCTTGGGTTTGACCGACCGGAAGACGCTGCCGATATGTTTCTGACTCTTGTCTCGATACTGCTTGACCTAGCACATCCAATTAGGTGGTCATCATTCGCGGCGGCGGGCGAGATCCGCAGAGAGGAGAGCGGAATGGGGAACATCAAAGTACTAAGCTTTGTTTGAACACCTCATTTGCAAACAGAAACATCAGAGGAACATCGCCAATGCGGAGCCAGGTGCACCGCCCTGAGGCATGTGTAAACATTGAATGCAGCAATTTTCTAGGCGAATCTGAAAACGAGCATTAAAGAAAGAGCATCTGCCTCGGCGGTTGCGCTGCGCTGTGCGCGAACTTTCCACTGTCTTACGCACGACTCGATTCTCTTCAGAGTGTCGACCCTCCACTATAGAGGCTCCCATTCGATTTGGACGTTTCCGAATATCAGGCCTGAGCAGTCGGGGAAGTTTGAGCTCAGAGATGCGCACGATGGACTTGCAGAAAGCTTCTCCCTCTTCCCCTCTCTACGACTCCTCACAACCCATCTCGCCTCGATCGTACTTTCGCCTGTCAACCACTCAACTGGGTTTATAGTGAGCGATCAATTGATACGATCGATAGGTCAATGGGGTGGGAACGAGGGTATTCAATGACAAATCTAGTGCGGGAATCAACACCTATGAGCTCTGGTGACCTCTTCTCGCCTTCGATGTGCGTCTCGCATCAACCACAAGACACCTGGGAATCGGAAATTTCGGCTTGATTTCTCTCGTCAGGAAGGCCTGTGTCCGCGTGTCATCACATAGGAAAAAAACAGGTTCTATCGGGTTGTGTGACAATAGTAGTTGGCTCTGCGTTCCGCGAATTCCGTTCTCGCGAAATATTTGGAAACGGAACAGAAAGCTCATACAAGTATTCAAAATCAGTGCCGATCGCACGAAATTCCTATGTCATGGTCGATGTGAACTCTCCAGCCCGTATCAAGGAGTCTCGTGTCTTCTCCCGAATCTTCCCAAAAAGCTGGACTCAGTCGCGACTTTGATGATGCTGTTTTTTCCCATCAAATCAGAGCTATCTGTCCCGTGCCTCTTTTTTTCTTCTCATTCATTCGTTCGCAGTTTTATTTCTGCTTCCCAATAAAGTGGGGTTAGTCGAGTATAAAAAAGGAGCCTCGTTGATAACTGTTCGCCGCTTACCGTGCCAAGGGAGATCGAACAAATTTTTTCTCTTCCTCTCGCTCGCGTCTCTGTAGAGCAACTTGGGCTCGATGCCCGCATTCGTGAGGTTGGGAGCTTCTCGGTCTTGTATAGAGACAGCAGCACCCGCTCGCTCGTGTTTCAGGCAAGCAAGCGGGCGAGCGAGCGGGCTACCGATCAGGCGACGAGGGAACCTACAGCTAAACAGTCAGCCGTACTGACGAAGAATGGGAGACACAAGCTTCAATGATCCCTCAGGATGTCAGGGGTGACGAGGATCTCTTGTGATTTGGGGGGAAGACCACGATGCGGTCATTCGAGATGATAATAGCTGAATTCAACCACATGTACACAGCGACACTCGACATATCAATTGAGTGTGTTGAATTGCCTCCCCCGAACTGCTGATACTCGATCGAGGCGGCAGTCTTGCGGCATCGGTCTTCGGAATCGATCCCTCAAACTCCTGTGTTCCTACCTGTCAATAGGTACGCCAGATATTTCCCGGAGATTTCGAATTGCGACGGATTCCCTTGAAACCTCTCGGAGAAAAGCTGTGTCATTTCCTTCCCAATACTGTGAATACATGGAAGAGTTCAGAGAACGGATCATCGAGGTCCTGTCGAGCTCGGTCTGTTTTTCTGATTCTGAGAGCAGAAATTTATGCTTTTTCTAGAGCTGACATCCGAACGGTTTGGACCACCGAGTCGGTGAAATTAATCTTCAGATAAGCGACAATTTGAAGGGACAACACTCACGAGCCAGTAGAGCACGCCGATAAAGAGAAAAAAGAACACGTTCTCACTAGAGTGATCCTTGCTTTTTGCGATTCTGCCATCGACATTTATTGGCCATAATTCCGAAGGCACCGCCGCTGCCGAAATTTCTTCTGGTGCGGCTTTCGAACCGCTCCAATTTGTTACGTGGTGAGCGAAATGCCGAAATCCGACCGAGTCAATGACGAAGATTCCGCTGATTTCGTATCCGACGAGTGTCCTCCCCATCTCGGCGTCTTGCTGTTTTTCGGCAAATTCCCGTACGAGATGCTTTCAGGAGTTGCCATGGATTTCCGTGACGGGCATGCCGTGCATAAGCGAACGACGACGCGAATTATAATCGCCATTAGAGGCTCTCCGAAAAAAAAATCTTGCTAGGCGTATCGCCAACACGTTTAGGCACGAAAACCATTTTGACGGCAGTCCATTATGGGATAGAATGAAAAATGGAATCTCGACAGCACTGGCTCTAGCAACGGTTGTCCGAACCTCTCGCGGGGGACCGTATTAGTCCATATTCCATTTATTCAGGGTTCAGGACCCACTCCGCGGATCGCTAAGACAACCCGATGCGCGGGCGAATGAACTGCCACGGGATTGATTCATTGTCAAAATGTATCAGGATAATTCTTTCCGCACAGAAGGGGGTCGCCGTGTATTCCTGCGCGCGTTTGGGTGGGCTGCTCTCGAAAGCATCATCGGAGTCGCCTCCGTGCGTCATACACGTTCACGAGCTGCGCTGTCAAGCGAATGGATAGGCGGCAAACACTCTAAGCAAACACGGGATCGAATGGAAAATCGGCTCGGATAAACGGCGGAACAGTCCGAGATCCACTTCGTGGCAAGGAAGGGCTGAAATTCGAAATAGCGAGGTACGACTCAGTAGGACCTCTCGAAGAATCGGCGATTTCAGCTTCCCCCGCATGTCAGCGGACTTGGGGACCCTCACACCCAGAGCTCCCTCGATCAAACTGGTTTGTAAGTCCGGAAAGGTCTTGTACTCTCATAGTGATATCCATCGAATACTGTGTGATACTGGGATCATGGATCTCCGATTGCAATCTGATTGGATCTGTTGGGCTCAATCGATGTCCCTCAGATCCCTGATCTTCGATCGAGACAATTGAGACTCGCGTGCGCCCCGCAACAATGTGGTCACGATGCTCTTATCATTGAACGATGCTTTCGCACCTCGGAACGTCGTCAGCTGCGGGGACGTCGGATCGCCGTCCTGGTCTCTTGTTCTCGGCTAATTGTGCGACAAAGCTCCAATCGAGCTGATGGCGAGGATTCCCGCGTTGGTAGCGCATCGCCGCTTCCCTCATTTCGGAGTACGATTCCAGTGGAGTCCCGGACGGAAGAGATGCGAAGCGTCGGACTCTCGGATGGATCTCGAGGGAAGGAGAGCGTCGCTGAAGCTTCGGGAAGCTTGGAATGACAAAAGATCCAAAGGGGAAAGAGTTGATGGAATTCCGTCAGCTCGTCATCCGCTCGAAGTTTTTTCCGCGGTTTACCCCGCGTCGTCTCTCTTAGTTGATCTGTTGGCCTGGTTCTCGCTTCTTTTGTTATGCGTTTCGTCTTTCTCGTCGAAGGGGCGTACCCGTCACGGTTTCGGATCGTGACACCCCCTTGTTTTTTTTGGCATTAATCTACCATCACAGCCACTACGACCGCCATCACAATCGCTGTCCACGTTGCCGCCGGCTCTGTCGTCGACAAGTTGAAGTTTAATGCTCCACGTCCTGATCGGGGGTCTACTTGAACGTTCGTCCGGCTTTCTTTCGACAAGAAGATCCGTCGTTTTCTGAAGACGTCCGTTTGATCGGCCTACAGGTCGTATTTGCTCATAAGAGCGTGGTTTGCGCGGGTCTCGACGATCGGTTTGTCGGTTGCTACGTTTCCGCGATCGCAAAGCTCGCGGCGGAGGAAAGACGTCCATACTGTTCAGACCGCTCGTTCTATTTTGGGAAGAAGTCTCAGTCCGACGTATTTTGCTCTTGCTCTCACCTGCTTTCTTGGAGTGAGCGGATCCTCCATCGTTGTGTGAATTATGATCGATGGGGAAGCCCACGATGACGCCGAAGCGGCCGAGTGCTGTACGGTGAAGCCAAACAACTCAGTTTGTTTTATATCATGGACAGATGTCGTCGAGACAGATGTCATCCATAATTAATTGAGTGACTCTTCGATGCAGCGCGGACGAGGCCAATTGTGATCCGGACTGGGATATAGTTCATATCTTGTCGGTAATCTGGAAAACTCGGGCAGACCCATCGACGTCATGCCGCATGTTGGAAATCGGGAACGAAATGGGAAGCAGATAAGAAGATCTTGGTCTTTCATCTGAAAGGGATTTCGTTGCTGCCGAGTCCGTGGACGTCGCAATGGCCGTGCCCAACGCGGTATCTAAATATCCATCGATCGCTCATGGTCTCTGGTCGCGTCGATCGTCCGTCCGTCTAGGGATGGCCACCATTTTGAGTTCTTAGGGTATTTAGGTGATTTGGCATTTCGAATTGGGGTGATCTGTTACAATTGTCTGTCTTTTCGCCTGTTCGTCTGGTATAGCTCACCGTCCGGCGGTGGCGGCGGCGGATCCTCTGATGGACGGACGGACAAATGGACCGAGTGAGCATCCATTCCGTTTGTTGTTCGACTAGCAGCCAGTGCCATCCGTACAAACGATCTTTGGGGGGAGTTCAAGATTGGAGTAGTCGACGTCGACATCGTCTTTCTCGATGGATGAGCGGACAGACAGTCGTACGGTCGGTCGGTCGGTCGGTCGTTCGTTCGTTCGTTCGGACGAACGCGCCGATAGACGGACGCTCACTGGGACGGACACAGGAATAGACCGAGTCGGTTGGGTCGTTGCTCGCTCGGCTCTGGCGGTCGGAGAGCTCCTTTGAGTGCCACTTGCTGCTGCTGCTATGAGCAAGTGGCCAATTTGCCGTTGAGCAATTTGAACGGGAGTGTCCGAGAACGTCTTAAAGTGACAGGTGAACTCACGATTCCGATGCTTCGGGGGTGGTTGCGCTCAATACGTACGGTCCCATGCGGTCATGCGGTCCCGTTCGCGGTTCATTATGGAGAGAAAAATGAAACCTCTCACTTGTCCGTCGCGGATTTCGCGGCAATTTCGCGTTTTCGAATGGAACAATGGAAAGTGCGCCCTAGCACCTCGGATGATACTCTAGCATTGATAATCCTCGATGTAACCCTAATTATTGTATTTATTTCCCGCCATTGGGACGGTCGGAGCCCGGCTGAAGCGAGGACTTCTCCCTGACGCAGGAGATTCCCTTTGGAGCGTTGTCGGACGTATTTCTGTTTCTTCCTCCAGCGAGTTTATTGTCAGAAGATGGACAACTCCGCGTGGAACTAGGAGTTGTGCACATAATTCTTTTGCCGTCTGAGAGCGTCTGGGTCCGAGTGAGTGTTGCGTCTTTGGCTCTGCCGAAGAAGTCGAGTCGTGGTAATCTTTTTCTGTCACGCAACCATCGCCGCCGTTCGGCGATGGCTGTCGAGCCAGTCAGTTTCAAAGGTAGGTTTACTTGCTCACGAAGCTTTCGCGCCTCCGATACCTCAACACCAAGAGAGAAGAGAGACTTGCCATCCATTAGTAACAACTAAACTTACCGGACATTATGACTTTAGACTCTCGGAGGGAGAACGGGGCGAGAGGTAAGTCGGACAGTGAGACGCAGGAGACGATTCGGCAGCCACGAAAAAAAGAAAGGGATCTTAGGCGGTGGGGGCTCTGAGCGACCGGGTCGTGTGACAACAATCGGCCTCCGAATTATTCGGGCATTCCGGCCCCGCTCGAATTTGTTCACGGCAACAACGCCGGTAGTAATAATGATGATAATTTCAATGATAATAATAGATTTTGATTTATGATTTTACGAAAGGCGAGCAGCGATTTACAGAATGGCTGCGCTGTGAGATCGCCAACATTTTCGAAGCGACGAGCCAATCGGTGTGCTCTTTGCTTGCTCTGCCATAATAATCTTCATTTCTTGAGAGGCCCTCCACAAGAGCTCGTCGACTTGAGGGACCTCAGGAAGGCTGTCGAAAATAGGCGTTTTATCGCGATTGAGAAGCCTGTGCTCGACCTGAGCTGCGAAGGATCCAGTCGGAGGGAGGGTCCTCCGTCGAAGGTCTAGCCGGAGTTCGATATAAATTCAGAATTTCTGTTCCAGGTTACTTCGTTCGATGTCTATGACGAGTGGGCCGACAGCCACTGTCGTTTCGTGTATCGCGCCGATTGCGAAGAAGCTCGACGTCATTCCTCAGGCTGGGCCATGAGGAACACGAACAACCACAACGTACACATTCTCAAGAAAAGCTGCTTAGGAGTTTTAGTTTGTGATAAACGCTGCATCACGGCGAACGGTCCCGTTCACTTGCGACCCGCCATTTGCGACAAAGCTCGCAAAAAACAACAAGGTAGGCCGAACCCCTCCGCAGGAGGAAATGTCTCGGGGGTAGTCTCAGAAAAAAACTCCGTGAAGTCATCTCTCGCGTGCTAGATCTGGATCTTTTCCCCTCCCAACCTCCACCGCTCCGGAAGAATCTGAGGCTGGAAACCGGAGGATTAAACGAAGTTTCTGATCAGGCGACGTTTCCTCATATCCGCCAGGACGGCTTTTTGTGAGACCGATGACCACGACAGACGACCGATGTCAGTCAGTGCGCACAGTAGCTAGATGGTCGTGTTGTCGCCTAAACGAATGGATCTCATCCGTCTCATTATCATAGACTGTTAGCCTCATCATGTAGCCGTCTGTAATTGGGGGGCCGGACATCTGCTCCTGGATCTCAGACTTCCTCTAGACTTCAGCGGAGCTATTCGTGCCCTTAGTTATATTTCGATGTCGCCGTACTTACCAAGGATATTTTGACATATCAACGGTAGGCTCGTTCTGCTGGCCTCAGCCAATTCCGCTTCGTGAGATTTGCCAACGGTAATGTCCGAGCCCCGAGTCAAACTCGCGAAAACCGCAAAAAAGCTCGACTCGAAGCTCGGTGAGATGATCGCAAAAGGAGGTACCGGATCGCTCGTTGCATAGAATGCCGTCCGGAGGAAGAATCGGATCAAGGTGTCGCAATTGAACGACTGTTCAGGGTGTCAGCTCATTGTGCGGATCGAGGTTGACTGACGTGCTGACTGGCTCACTGAAAAGACAGTGGAAATCGATTCGTGCCCTGCGAGAGCGAGCTGCTGCTGATGAAAGTTCGCGTGATCTAGCCAGCTCGAATCAGTCGAACTCGTCGCTCGCTGGCAACTGCATAATAAGCTCTGGGATACTGACTCTTATTCACATCGGGCTCTGTCAGTCACGGTCGCTGACCGAATAAGATCGATACGCTCAACAACCCAACCACCGATAGCTCTCGGAGGTGTCTCGTCCCGGAAGGACATTGTGCCGCTTGATTGTAGAATTCCAGGGACGTGTTCTGGAGCGCTTCGGAAGAATCTCCAAAAATGCAGACAGACGAAGTTGTCGACCTGAATGAGAAGATCAGAAGCCGCACTCTCTAGCACTCTGGCCTATCGATGAAGAACATTTACAACTAAGTATCTTTATAGGCCGTCAGTTATTCTGTCTTAAAGCTGCTAGCCCTTATCGGTCCGATAAAGCCCTCATGAGTCTAGTCGCTTGGCAATAACATGAATTAGCGCTAACGATTTTAACGTCGGCCCGCCATAAATTTTGTGAGCGAGTCTCCGAATGACTTCATCGATCCGATCGGATTGTATCAAATCTTCCGAGCCGATAGATTAACTTTTGAATAGTTTGTTGAGTGCTTGGGACGCGGGCGCCCTGAAAATACCGACATGTCGACGAGAGAGGTATGAGATGGGATCAGCGGGCGGACCTAGCAGTTTTTTTCCTCCAGTCTCACCTTATCTGGGAACTAAATTTGCATTGGAGCACGCGTGATACGGCGGCATACATATTTTTCTGCTTTCGTTCGGCACCTTCACACTTCGTTGCGTCTTGTGGCTATGTACTGCTCAGACGGCTCTGGGGAAAATTAACATTAAACTCACATTAGCTCTAATGTCATCTCACTCGTTATCACCGCCTGGTCAGCCAGCGAAGGAAGTTCTAGGGACGGACGAAAAAATCGTCGCGCACGGTTGGTGTATACATATCTCCGATACGCTCGGATTGTTGAACGTTCGGGGACTGGTCGAGACAACACAGCTCAAATGCGCTGCAAAAAGTTTCTATGGATTCTCTCTCGTTCTGCCATACGAAAGATGTCCCTCTGAAGAACGTCGTCCCGTGGAACAAAGAAACCGCTTGTTGTTGTGACTGGGACAGCGGGGGGTGCAGAGCATCGCGCCGACTAGCCGTACTTTGGAATTTATTTATGTGCACTTCACAAGCGCGCAGCTAGTTCGTAACTAGAATAACAAAGTTGTGTCTGTTTGTAGTTTTTGTGCCTAAATATTCACCCGACATCCGGGATCACGGAATGTTCGGAATGCTACTCAAACCTTCGTTTTACACCAAGGAATCATATTTTCTCCCCGGAATTTTAAACACCGTACGCGCGAAGCCGATCGATTCGATATTCGTTTCTGTCAATCACCAGAGGAAATATCAATCCCGCTCACGCCGCGCGTTGGGATGGCCAAGATCCATCGCTCTGGCGTCTGGATCTTCCTTGGAATCATTCTTGGAAATTTTGTCAGAAGGATCGCGGACGGTCTGAAGACGTGAACGAAGTTTTATCAGTTCCCTTCCGAAAAACAAACACTAGCGTGATAATTAATACGAACTCCGGCCACGTGTTATATGCTGAACTCGCCGTATCGTTCGCTAGCTTCGACCGCATCACGTAAATCAAACATACCTTGAATCCCAAGCAGAGAACGGCTCAGAAAATGTTCAGATATTTTTCGGAATGCGAGTATTTCACGCAAATGCGAAGGACGACTAGCCATCGAACGAGCCAAAGAGTGAAAGGTGCAGCTCAGCGAACTTCACCTCCGGAACGCAGATTTGAATTCGAATCAGGTCGAGTTGAACTGTTCCTACCTATTCCGAATTAGGAGCACGCCTCCGAGACACGAAGAAAAACATAGACGAGCAAGAAGAATCAAGGGGAACAATGAGCTCCTTTATGCTCGGATACGAAGGACGGAATCGATGTGGAATCATCAGAAACGAGAACAGAGGACAGAGCTCGATGTGGCGCTCACAATATACCATTATTTCGGAAGCGAACACGACGGAACTAGCGACGAAGACGGCAATAGCGATAACAGCTGAACTTTCGGCAAGAACCGACATTGGTTCAGGAGCGAATCTAAACGATTTTGCTGGTCGTGTTCCGCATTAAACTGTAGAAATCACGGAAAGTAGATGCACATGCAGATAGATAGTTTGTAACGACTCGCTCAGCGGGTGAAATTTGAAGAAAAATTCTGATCCCCCGCACAAGGACTGTCAGTTGTGAGCGTTCTTCGTGTTGACATGTCACGGAGTTCTTCTTTATGCCTCGTAAAGTCCCGAGCACGCCTTCGATACGCGTCTGCCTGGTTTGATTTTAGACTAAAGACCCATTTTCCAACGCGTATTCCCGTACACTGAACGCTTGTTCGAACCCCATACAAATTGGATTGGGTGTCCGATGATGTAGCCCTCACCAAGGAGAATTCGACGTTTCACGCTTCCTGTAACTGAATCAGAATCCGTTCCCCCAGGTAAACCGTGTCCCAACAGAGGGTGCCCAGGAAGACTTGAAGTCCTTGCATGCAAGGGTCACTGCGGTTATCCGGTCACACACTTCTGGAGACACACGGAACATGCAATTTTCTTCCAAGCCAAAGGAACCCATGATCATCCACGACCGGAGCCGAAAGCCACAGCTGAAGCTCGTCGATCTCTTCGCGTAGCCAAACGCGGCTATTCGTCACTCGAGAGCTCGCGCTACGCCACGCAGCATCTCTCAATCAAAGACCATCATCGTGGATACCAGGTCAGTACCTCGTTTTTTTCCCTCCTTTTTCCCAGACCGCCACCTACGTGGACGGATTGAAGTTTCCGCTGAGTTCTCTCGACCTCCAGTGAATTAGAGATCTTGGGAACCGGAGTAAACTTTCCGTGGAGACGCCCGCGAACCCTCTGCCTGGCCTGGCTCGACCAATAAGATTGCTTGCGGGTGACGGAAACCGTCGCCTACTCCGTATGAGGAGTGCAAGAGCAATGACCCTCCGTCATGAACAAGGCTCATCGGTCTTGGAGTCGAGAGTCTCCGATAGCAGTATCTCGTTTCATTTCACCGTTTAGGGAATCCCCCTTGGCGGCTCGACTGCAGTGAAAAAACATGTTCGGATGTACTTTCGACTACGACGACTACTACTGCTGCGGCGGGAGCGGTAGTGGCGGTGGCGGCGGCGGCAATGGCGAATACCGAGGGAGCAGCAGCAAAAACCACGCCCCGGCTTCGAAACCGGGGAGGAGCTTCGGAACCATGTGTTCGCTCTTCGGACATAGTTGGTTGGCAGCAGCGGCAGTACCACGGACGAGAAAACGCGCTGCTGATCCTACTGCCGGCGTTGCTGATGTTGTCGCTGCCGCTGCTACTGCCGCAGTTCAAGAGGGAACCTCAAAGCGTTAACGTTGAGTTTTTCTTTAGTGACGCTGCTTAGCTTTTTGAGTGGGGAGGGAATACACGCGGATAGAAGACACCGAGCGCGCACAAACACGCGAACACCCGATCGCTGACGTTCATATGAGATAGTTGACTGGTTGACTGTCCGCCGCGACCGTCTGAACGAGCACACCATAAGCTGAGAGGCCACAAGTTTGTTAAATTATCCGCGAGCTGTTCAAGCATCGGAATGGTCGAGAGCCGAGACTTTTGTCTCTGGCAATACGATCCCGTCCGATTCGGCCTCGATGCGAGGTCAAAAATCGAGGAACGTCGAGCAGCAATTAGGTAGAGGAGATAGGAACCCCGTCGACCGCCGTCTCCGGAATGAAGCTGCGGTCGGAATCGGTCGAGCTTTCCGGGCTCTAGGCTCTTCGGAGGGTGTCTCTGTAGTCTATGGCAGACTCAATTTAATCGCGAAGCCGCGTTTGCTCCACGGGAGTACCAGTCGTTTTCCGAGCAAAATATTTTGTTACCGGTCAATTAAAATGTCGTGGTGCCTTTTTCCTTCACGGATGGCGCACCGCCTCAATCGGACGAGGATTTTGTAGCTCTTATGATCGGAAGATGCCAGGAAAGAGAGGAGCGAACCGACGGTAGAAGAGAGGGAGGAGAATCAGTCGTACAGAGAGTTATTCGTCAGTCACGACTTCACGACCTTGAGGTCATGCCGGTGCATATTCAATGAGAGAAACGCAACCGTAATTATTGTCGTTCTCGTCGATGTTGCTGCATCGGCTCGAGTTCATGTGTATGGACCACGATGGTGAGTTGTTGAGCATAAATTCTTTGACCGGCTGGCAGCTGGTTCGGACCCGAAGAAAAATACTCATCTGCTTTCGTACGGGGAGCTGCTACCGTTGATTCACCGTAGGTTTCCCGTAACGACCCACATTGAGTAGCGTCGACGGCCGCCCCGCCGGCTTCAATAATTTCAACCCGAGCGAGATGGGGGCCACTTACTCGCAAGTCGCAAGGGACTCTGGGGCGAAACTTTTCGGACAGAATCATATGAAATGAATATGACGATTGTTGTGAGTTGTGAACTTATGTGGTGGACAATCGTAGAGCTCGACTGCGACCAATACCGGAATTCTGCGCTCCACCGACTAGCAGACCGTGGCTAGCAGCCACCGTGAACGCGGGAGCACATCGGGAACTACATAGACCCCAACGACATTTACCGACCACTATTAGCATGGAGAGGACGACACATCCGACTGACTCCATTAGCGGTCTGGAAAACGTGTACACGTCCGAATATGTCGAACCGCATGGTAATGGTGCCCATGTTAGCCAAACAGCCGATCGACAATGTCGATAATAGCGTCTCTCTACGTGACAACATAGGGAATACGCGCCATATATTCCGCAGACACTGAGGAATGCCGATGCTCGTTTCGACGACCCTATCTACGACACAGTTGGCGGCGTCCGTTTCCTATTGCCCAAGATCGTATAGGCTTGCGGGCCTGGACTTCTGACACCAGACCTACCGAAAAGCCTATATGCTTCTACGTCGATTGCAATTTTTTCTTGAAGATCCCCTCAACTTCGCGATAGCGACCGGGGCGGCTCCATTCACATTAGATAGTTTGTAGAGCGAGAATAGACGATGCTTCCCCGGAGGAATGTCTCCACGTGCTTGAAATTCCGCTGATGGATGTCAAATGTCTCGATCTGTCCCCGGTCTATCACCCACCGACGCACGCACGTGTTGAGACCAGACCTCAACGTTTATGTAAATCGAATGGGAGCATAATTGCGGGGTTGTTCGCTAGTTTCGATGCCACGACGACGACGGACGGACGGCAGAGACTGGGCCCGGTGACCCCTGACAGGAGATCACACATGCCTTCGGCCTTCGAGTCGAAACGTGCTTGTACTCTGTTAAGGTCAGGACATCTTGGGCCCGTCAATGCGCATTCCGATGCAAATCGAACAAATTGCTCGATTGTCAAAGGTCAGTCATTGCTCATGAATCTCCGCTACAGGGTTGGGCACTCCGGACGGATTAGTGTCGTGTCGTATACTAATGCCTCCGAGCCGCTGTTGCCCCGAGCTGTCAGCGGAGCCGTCGTCGCCGTTTTACGTACTTCTTGTCAGCTCTCGAGATTTTCGAACGTAACTAGCGATTAGCTCACGGCGCGAGCACCGAGCAGGAGAGTCGTGTCATCCCGATCGAAAGGAACTTCTGTGAGTCGAGTTCGTATCGATGGTCTTTGTCGACGTCGATCGGGTTGAATTCGTACGTTCTCAGAAGTTTTGCCCGATTTCGACCGTTTGGACACATTTTCTCTGGGCCACTTCGCGTCGAAGCCTCCTGCTTCACTCTAACTCATACATAAGCTATTGAGCAGCAAATGATTGGCATATTTCACCAGCGCGCCTCACGCGACGTAACGCTGGATTCTCAGAACGAATTTCGGCGTCCCCAAACCGGAGAGAACGGTTGCGTCAATTGGAAGGAGCATTTTATTCAAATGAATCGAAAAGCGGGCAATTTTTCTATGACAGCCGAATGATTCATGAACTTGTGGAAGCGATACGAATCACGAGAGGAAATCGACGAGATCGTCTGCTCGTTCGGCAATCGCTTCGAGCCAATCGTAAGAGCTCCTCGTTGCCGAGGAGCTCACCGGCGGACGACGAAAGAGCCGGTAGCCGCCTTCTTGAATCACGAGCGAGCGGGAAAAATTGCGCTGCCAGAGTGAGGAATCGAAGTATTGTCTGTTCGAGCGGAGACAGCGGCGCACCGACACCGATCGTTCCCTGGTCGTCGTCGGAGCCGACGCCTCGCTCATTCGAATCTCTGGAGTTATCGGTTAGAAACGAAACGGCGAGGTCCGGCGAAACAATTATGTCCATTGAACTTGTTCGTTCGCCGTTCGTCATCGATGCGGAGCATCTGTCACTGGCCGCACATCGATCGCTTGCTCCTCCGTTCGTTCTACGGCCGGCGGCGGAGCGACCGAGCGACTCCATGGCTGACTTCGCTGGTCGCAATAGATCAGAATTAATGCTTGCGCTCAAATTATGTCGTTGCTCCATCGAGAGGATAGCGAGGAGAAAGAACCCGATCCGTCGTTAAGGTAGGGGCGCTTTCGCTCCTCGATGGGAAGATTAGTTTTCGTCATTCTGTGGAGTCGGGGCGAAACCTCGGGGACATTGGAAACGCGTAATCGAACAGAGCTCTCGAATCAAGGGTCGCGTCGCAAGGTCGGTGCTTGCACTTTTCGAAACTCAAACCTCCATCCTTCTGAGCGACGGAAGCCCAAACTCTCGCGTAGGAAAACGCTTCAGTTGGATGCAAGTTGCATCACCTGTTCGCGAACGATTCGGATGCTTGCTCCAAACATCGGCCATCGAGATCGCGTAGTTCTGGGGATTAGTTGCGCAGAGCAAATATTTGAGTGAAGCAAACGGGAAGAGAAACAACGCTGTGGGGCGGATCTCTCCAGCTAGCGAATCGAATCCCATCCGCCGAGCCATTGTAGAATCATCATGAATCGACGGGACATCCGAGGAATTTTCACAAGAGAATCTGAACGCGAAGTTACGCATAGGAAAAACTCTCGATATTCTCCGTCGCCCGGCCGCTCCCTGCGACGTAGACTACCTTCCGGGGGGGTTGATGAATCGTATCGAGACCGAACTCGCATCAGTGACATCAAAGGAACGGCAGATGGGAACGTTCCCAGCGACACAGTTTACCTTTCCGAAGGAAGTCTGGTCTAGGTTTATGTACTCAGGACCCGCGGCTTCGCTATTGAGATAGACCGAGAGATTACGAACGCAACGATGCTCAGATTTCGGCAATGAGCTGTGCGACGCTTCCCTCCGAATATAATGTTCAGCTCGGTTAGGAGAAAATACGGAAATACGTCGAAAAATCCCCCGGACTGGAACTGAACTCAATAGGTGGAAACGAGAGAATCTTCCTGGTTCATGGAGGATACTAGCCGGAAATTTCTTTCCTAATCCGCTCCTATTCCTCTTCAGCAATATCCGGCGAATGTATTGGCCGCGAACGGGCCCAGCGCCACGTGGACAACGACGACTTCAGAAGTTGACTATGAGCTGCACTTGAAAGTTTCTCGAATCGAAAGATTGAGCATGGTCAACACAATGACGGGAAACGGCCAGATTCCAACCCTGCCCTGCATGTGTCCCCCATACGAATGTGTGTGCGGATATCAAGCTCCCTCGAAGAAGCGCTACGGGAACCAGAGCTCTTATTCTCGCCCGCCCATGCCCCCTCCCCAGAAGCAAGCGCCGGGCCCCGTTGCCAACTACGAGTTCAACTCGATGCTGCCATCCTCGTTCGAAGTTTACCAGGCGCCAGTCGAAAAGTTCCCAGAATACACAGGCTCGACGGGAGGGGAATCCAACGATCGATCGAGCGAGGATAGCGACAAGCAACTAGTCTCCGCCACGCAAAAGCATGATTTCAAGCTTTGGTGAGTCCGAAAGAATCTCTGAGTGGAAGAAGACTCGTCTAAGCAGAAAAGGGCCGACCGAATCGGAGAACTAGACGGATTTTTTATTTTCCCAGGAACGAGCCCCCCAATCCCATGCAGCACGCTGACCCGCTCCAACATCATCTCGAACAGTACCAGCCCACGAGCCATACAGCGCATACGTCTTCATCGTCGCAGATCGTGAAACAAGGGGGTCCGCTCCATTGCCAGAATCCATACGTGAGCACGCTCGATGAAAACGACCACAGCCAGAGATATTACTCTGGCTTCGATAGCATGATGCAGGTGAGTGTGACTAGAGTCCGAACTCTCCAGAATTCGTCTGGGGGCTCCAAATCCTCGGGATCTCAGTAAACATCCCCTTCCCCCCATATTCGCTAACTTTACGCTCCCCCTTTAGGAGGACCCGGCGACTTCGTCTCAACTCATGCAGCAACATTGGGCGGACTGGCGGCTCAACTCGGGAGAGTATCATTCATATTACCAAGAACGGGCTGGCTACCACCAGAATTACGATATGGGCTCGCGAGTCCCTCTCGTCCCATCCCACCCGGGCATGAGCTCCGTTGGATTCCAACATGGACCCGCTCTGATGCCGCCTTCGATGAATGAAGTTCCTACGCTTGCCAGACTCTAGGGAGGAGCCGACGGTCGGTTCGCACAATCGAGCCCCGATGTGTCTAGAGCTGGCTGGGAATTAACAATGGATCTCTAGCCGTAGGATTTCCATGAAAGATTAGCTGCTTCTGTGAATACGTAATCCTCCCCGGATTCGGTAAGCAAGTCGGATCGTTGAGGGAGGAGTTCGCTCGCGATCGTTCCCGGATCCGCATCGTAGAGTTCCAAGCCATATGATCCATGGAAACGAATCTCCTGGATCTTCCGACAATAAGTTCCTCCTGCGCTATATAGGATGCTGCTTATTAGTTACAAATGAGCAAGAAGTCGATGCAGCACGAAATTGGTGAAGTTTTCACGACTGTACCAAGAAGTTTAAGGATGTGGGGTGATTGCTTCCTGTCGTCGGTATTGAACTCAGAGCGTAGCGAAGAATGAGTGAATCTCACACGTTCAGGTCGATTGTACCGCGTCGTGTATCTGTCTCTGGAAGCTCTCGTAGATTATAATTATTATATCGGGTCGGTGTCTATCTCTTGGGATCGACAATCAACTGCACGCTCGGGTCCCGTGGGCTTCTCGAGGGGAAGTCGAGAACGAGGTATTTATTATGCCTATCGTGATGTAAATATTCTGTAAAACCACTGAAAACATTCTCGATCATCGGATCGGAGGGATTTCTGCAAGGTCGACGAATGAGAATCCCTGACTGAGATCTTTTGCTTCTTCTGCTAGCACTATATGTCTGTAAATAGGTTTAGTTAGAAATTAGGTAAACAACGATTCAAAGAGTCGATGAAGAATACCTGCATCGTGTCCAATCGAATAAATGTCCGATATTATGACCGAGTCCTCGGATCATCTCTGGTCGAGATCTCCGTTCGGTTTCCGTTCGTTGAGATGACTGCATATAAGTAGGTTCAGGTATGAATTCAAACCTGATCGTCTTGCTATACCGACGCAAGAAAGAGCCGCTATCGACGACGACAGCCGAAGGCGCATGTTACCAGTGTTCAAAATGGCCTTCGATGCCGCGAAAGATGTTGCCTAACGATTTTTCAGATGTCTCGACCAACTGTCTGAGACTGTGATTTGAACGTGAAGGCAAGGGAGTTGAGGTGAAGTGAAGTGAGCGAGTTACGGCGCCTCTGGGGGCCACCCGAGGAGAATTAATAACGCAACACAAACAGTTCTAATGCGAAGTTTCATCTCGTGCTTCAACCCGTCACAGAGTTGGTGATTTCGGAGCCTTCGCTTCTATCGGGAGTGACGCGTAAGACCACACCAATCGCATTCGCGTCGAAATTTATCTCGACAGAAGTGACGCGGAAGGGTGCTGCGATTCTTTGGACGCCGAGAGCCGCCGGAACCATTTCCGGATATTCCACGGTTGAGCTCTCTGAGCGGAAAAAAATCACATCGGCCCAGTTATTCATTCTTCTCAATCTGACGTTGTCCAGGAGAAGGCAGACTCTGGATCTGAGCTGAGCGCGTGTCAGCGTTTAGGCCACACGGTAGCAGTCGTCGGATCGCTGACAACTCTTCATCACGGGGTACCGGTCACTGCCAAATCGAAGACATATGACGAGAGACATGCCGGTCGTGACCACTATGTTTGTTACTCCCACAGAAGAGAATTTGTCTGCGGAAAACAATGAGCCCTTCCCGTCATGTCGACAAACAAAATCGGCGAATCGCCGTCATCGGGAGGGCTGAATTTCACTACAAATTTGTCAGGCGAGCGAGCCGGGATGATAGGAAAGCGCTTCCAAACGGTACCATTCCTGGAATCAGAGGCTTCTTGCTTCGAGACATTCCACGAAAATGCTCCGACCCTTGAAAATTCGGGATTTCGGCGAGCTTTCGGTGAGACAACGATGATTTCACGGTAGCGAGAGACCACGGATGCCCTGCGCTGACGGCACTACCCGAAGCCGTGGCAGGCGGTTCTCAAAACGTTTACCCCCAATGATTTAAGTGAATTTACTTTACAAATAGCCACCTTTCAAACGCTTCAAAACTTCGAATTGCTTCTTTTTCAGCTGGCCTTGGGTGGTAAAACCTTTTCGTGCTTGTCGAGCTTCCCGTGTAATTTGGCTCAAAGAAGGAAAATGCATTGAACCCGAAGATTGACATCCTCCCGAAACCGCTTGAGTTCTTCTATTTTATGTAGTCAGCACAAAATGTTGAAGCTACACTCCGCGGAAGTTCTCTCCTGTGCAGAGTGCTCGCTCCGCCGGAATGCCGATTCCGGAGAGATCTTCAGTCAACGGCATAGGCAGGGGATCTAGAGTTCAACCTCGCCGTGAATACGACCAAGTGTCGGAGCCTTCCTCCTTACTGATGTTGGATGGGGCCATCGGCGCTCTAAGGATCTGATCTTCAGAAAGGATATTCCGGTATCTGTGCGCGTCCTCAAGTGTTCGATGATTATCATACGCCCTTAGTCTTGCGCACGGCATGAGCTGCGGAGGAGCAATACCCTTTGCAGCAGTCGGAGCTATCGAGAATCCAGAGGTACTTCATACTACATTGGCTACTCTCAACAAACCTCCGTATCCCCGGGTTTTTAATAGCATGATGCAGGTGAGCCTAACTAGAATCTGAAGCATGCAGGGTTCGTCTGGGAGCTTCGAATCGTCGGGATCAGAGTGAAGATCCCCCCATGCTCGATAACTTCACGCTTCCCCTTGTCGGGGATCCGGCGTCTTCGTCTCAACTCATGCAGCAGCATTGGGAGGAGTGGCGGGTCATTCCGGAAGGGTATCATCCATGTCATCAAGAGCGGGCTGGTCACCACCAGAATCTCGATATGTGCTCGCGAGTCCCCCTCGTCAAAGTCCGTGATTCCGGGTCCTGTTGCCGACTCATCGATGGATGGCTTTGTCTCCCATTCGGAATGTTATGGCACGAGCAATCCAGAAAAAAATGTCACCCACAGACCAGCGTCGACGGCTGCAATCAGCGTGATGCTTCGACAACGCGAGAGTTCAGGGGAAAAGGATGACCGACTATTCCCGAGTCCAACGATGCATCGCTCATTGATTGACTATCTAAACTCGGGTCTTTTCCTGATAATTCAGGGTCTTAGAACTGTGAAGTGACACCCCTCGAAGCAATAACGATATTCGCGCTCGGGAGACATCGAAACCCGACTTTATTCATAAATATTACAATTTTTAATATAATATGTGCTTAGATAGACTGCCAAAGGCCACTCATTCGGTATTTACAGGAGAAATGAATCTAGTAACTTTTCTATTCATGCACCAATAAGTTTCGCACAGGTCTGTTTTTCCCAGTGAAAGTATAGAAATTGGGACAGTTTCCCACTGTTTCAAAAGTCTTATTTTGAAGTTGAGCACCCGCTCGAACTTCCATGAAGTCTCCGGCGATTCTCAACGTCGACCACATGGCGATGAAGAGCGAAACGATGGTCTGTACGACGATGTCCAATGGCACAAACGAGGATCCCTGCTCACTCAAGCGGAGATACGATCTGCGAAAAATTAGCGATGAGTTTTCGTTCCATCAGGGACAAAACCTCATGTACAATACGATCATCGGGGGCACAGCTGAGAGACGCCGAAATATTCCTAGAACTCACTTGTGCTGCGCGGCCGACAGACCGCAGTGGACAAGGCTGAGTACAGAGCACCAGAACAATCCTTTCGAGACGTAAGCCATCGGGCTGAAAGCGAAACCTGATTGAGCTTCCCAAAGGACATAATAATAGGGTGCGCCTGGAATCGAACGTGATGAATATAATCGGAGAACTTTCGAAAGAGGTTCGATTGATTAGGCTATGCGAGCTACCGCTCAGTCCTATCGCTTGGGTCTCGGCCTAAAATTCCACTCTATTCAAGGGGAGAAGAGAAATTTCGAAGCCCGGGATACTGAGGGCAAATCTGGCGCACAAAAAGTCTCTCTAGCGACATGACATGGAGCATGATGACTGCCGTCCCCTCCGGGGATTCAAGGAACGAATCCTCTCATGCCACCATTACGCTAGGAGGATGAGCGACCCTCTCGAGCTTTCCCACGTCTCCCAATGAGCACAAGAAGGTATTTGTGTAACTCACAAGCAACAATATCCGAGTCAGCCGGAAATTCTGTCGTGTGCGAAAACTGCAAGGGTGGTTGAAAAATGATCTGCTGTGTTTTGTGTACTACGGAAACAGCGCAGAAAACAAGGCAATATGGCTGCCGGAGCAGCCCGCGATGTTTCAAAACCGCTCTCTGCGGGCTCGAGAAGGAGCCCCACGTCCCTTGTAGCAAGTCGCTTTTTTCTTCGCTCCCGCCTCCCGCCGTCTTGTCTCGAAGCCTGATTGCCTGCTTTGGCTTGCTAAGGGGATGTTCTCCGACGTACATGACCCGGTCGTGCTTGGGGCTTCCCTCGGTGACGATGAACTCTCGTCCGAGCTCGACCGAGTCGACGAGAGAGGAACGATTTCGGTATGGGACACGGTCGGCCGCCTTATCAAAAAATTGCCGGATGACGTACCTGTCTGAAGTTATTTATTCTCTCGCGTAAACATAACAAACGACGCGTCTGCCACGACAAAACGATGGAATGTACAGCGATCCAACATGTTTATATTCTACAACAATGGCTATCGCGTCGACCGGAACAATTCTGTACTCCGAAGCTATACAATTATACACCCGCTGCGACTTGTTGCTGTATCCGCTGCAGCATTCGCTTATCCAGCGTCCGTTTCCGAAATATAACGAAAGCAGAGCTCAGACCGCCGAGCAGCCACGTTAACATTTCGAATTTGTAGAAGTGCAACAATTCCGAATCACTACACGATCTGTACACTTCACCTGTCTTCGAGCACTTCAGGAGTTCTTTGTATCCTGACGACACACAGGCCGCGATGTTCTTAGATATTCTCTCGAAATCAGAACAAGGCTCGCATGGTTTTCTGATGACGAAGTCCTCGTCATCCCAACAGCCTTTCTCCTGAACGACAGTATGATTCGTCGTGGACTCGACGAGAATTCCTTCCAGTGTTAAAATGAATAGACACGCGAAAATCAGGAAAATCGTGCAGAATATGAGCTTCTTCAGCGACATAGACTCAATCATCTTCGCAGAATACTCCGGAACACGCGAATGCCCACGGGATAATTCGGCTTCAGGAGAGGATGCGTTGCCGAGCGTCAATTATTCCGTCGTACAGTATACTTCATCGGGCTGAAGTCGGCAGTAGTCGAGTTCTGGACACTCTGGGGCGAACCGACACATAGAGAACGGAGTCTGGGGGGATATTCATGTGCGGAGAAAGATGATCGTGACTCATGCACAACCGCTGCTCTGGAAAAGATGAACCGTTGATGAGGACTCCGACGGAAATAACGATTCCTTAGATCATCCCCGGAATGGGACCTGCAGTCGAGGACACGAGAGACAGCCTAGTTCGAACAGCGGGAACCCTTTTTCTTTCATCAGCTGTTCGGGTGTGCCGATGAAGGCATCGTCCGTATGGAGGACTACTGCCTCCGCAGCTCATCCATCAGATGAGAATTTTTTCGAATAATCTCACAGGTCTCTGCTTGCCGACGTTTCTACACAGCGAACGGCAGAAGATTCTCACCTTAAGATCCGATTCGCAATTGTCGTGTTATCTTTACTTTGAGTGTGCTGTCAGCAGAAGCCAAAATGGCGACCAGCTGTGTTTCGCCAACAAACGGCGGCAAATTTGAGCCGCTATTTTCTCCGGTGTGCGAAATTCGAAGCGTTCTGGTGCACCCAGCTCTCCGGCGTTCGATTGAGCTCGCTGCGTCCCTCAGGGGCGGAATCGTTGGTCGGACCGATGCCGTCGATCATTGAAATTGATAAGCAGGGAATTGGAAGGCTTGTACTGGCATACAAGATTGGTTAGTGAGATAGAGTAGAAGGCAGTAGGGTCGTCTCCGCTGTCGCTCAGCGTCACCGAGGCGAATCTGAAGCTCAGCCACTACACTCGTGAAGTGTCGAAGAAGCACTCGGGTAGAGTTTTCACAAGACAGTGTGTTTATCGATTGAAAAAAGGTTGTTTCTTATACTATTGTCTATGAGAGAGGGGAATCTATGTTGGGGCGCCGATCCGACACCCCTCCTACTTGATTGATGAGCCCACCCCCGTACACTATGGGTCCCCATAATTAAACGGAGGGCTCTCTCGAGCCGAGCGCTTTGTCGGCACTTGTGGTCGTGCGCAAGCGTATGCGGAGCCGCTCTGATTCTCAACTCCGTACTGTTTCGCAAACCGGGGTCCATTGAGACCCGGATGCAGTTAGATATTAGAATCCGAGATCGGCTGACTTCTTGCTAGCTTCTCCTGAAGACGGCTCAATCCATTTCGGATGATTCCGTCCCGATGACAGGTAGTTCGAGGCGAATGTTTGAGCGGTCTTCCAGAGATTGAAGATGCGTCCTCGCGGGGTGACTCGTAGGCATCGCTATCTATGTTTCTCTATTCTCAACAGAAATAATACCCTTCGAGGAAGAATTGTAGCCTGAGGGAGGAGCGGATTTCCGGAGAGGATTGAATGGAGCCCCTGATTCAATATTTCTCGCTCGATCTTCAGTCCTTGGACTTTCTCCGGACCGTCGAAGAGTCGCGATACGCGCCCTTGACGGGATAATTCGTTCTATGCTAGAAAGAGGACACGATGGTGATATACTGGGAGGCTACATGTATTTCGGTCCAACACCTTGCGATCTGAGTATTCATTGTATTCATCGACCTTTCCGCACGTAGCACTCGAGTGGGCGAGTGGCCTAAGTCGAGACTCATACTATTTCATACTATTCGGAAGTGAGCTTTCTCCCGGGTCGTCACCAACCTCAAACGCGGCAGCCGAATCTGTTGAAGAGAAGATCCGACTGCAGGCCCGCTGTTCCGACCCTGTCTTGCTTGACGCCTATGTTATGCCGCGCTATAAGAAGCGATCGACGCATTACTAATTTCTATTCAGCTCCGCAGCTGAACTATTCCTACTTATAGTCGGTACCGTACATAATTACCGCTATTGTGAGTATAGCATAATCCTCGTTTAATTCAACGGAGCGTACACCAGCATCGGAGACCAACATAGACGTCTTCAAAATCAAGAAACATTCCCAACAGACTCGGAGTCTCTGATCGCGAAACCCGAGACTTCGCACCGTGCCGTCCGGAAAGAGGTGTCACTCGGAGCGTGGCATTCGAAAAACTTCTTGTAAATGCATCAAAAATACTCAGAAGTCGGTGTATAACATTAAGGTAGGCTTCTCGCCGCTTTCAAGGGGGAATATCTCACTATTATCCTGCCGTCGGAGCCCGTATTTTCGGGCCTTGTGTTTGTTGCTCATTCCTCATGGAGCCCTCCACAGAGTGCGTGGTATGGAACTATCGTCGGTGAAATGAATGAGTTCGCATCGAGGAAATAGTGATCGAAGAAAAAAAGGAAGAACACAACAAAATACATGAAAAGGCAACAATTTTAATTGTGGAGACCTTGTTTGTCTTCAGCTGCTTCTCGTCTGAGACTTGTTGACGATACATGTCATGTTTTAAAATCATTATTTCTCTACCCTTCAATAAGTGTCATCGATTAAGTACTAAACACAACTGAGAGCTTGAACTTCAACACAAAATAAGCATCATGTTTCCCAGCGTGTTGTTTTGTTCTCATTTCAGGTACCCCATAGTTCCTATGAATATACCTCTCATTGAAATGATTCAGTCCGTGAAACAGCTCCGGGATCACGAACGACTGGTACATTTGTCAGTGGAGGTTGAGTCACTTATTCATAATGGGTCACGAATAGAAAATGCCGCGGGTCAGAATCTCGCCTCAGGGCTGAGTGGCTTGCGGCCGATATTTCAGCCTCGTCGCGCACGAAGACGGGTCGCATAGTCCTCTATGGAAATCAGGTATGTTTCAAAACTCCAACGGAAATCATCGGGACGTGCTTCAAAATATAGTAGAACGCTCATCTATCATCTGTACTCATCATGATCACATCAGCTTTTCTCACTATTTTCCGGAAATTTCCGAGGATACGATCGGTAGATTTCCGTCCTTTGTGAATATTGCAATTTCTTTTCGGAACTGAATTTCCAGCTAGTATCAGAAGCGCTGTTCGGAGGAGCTGTCAGTGATGTGTCTGTCGACCTTTTGTCTGTATTATAGTCGTGGTCGTCGTCATCATCATCACCATCACGAAGACCCGTAACTCAATTAGTTGTTTGAAGACGATATGTTAGACCTTATGTCATATTTCGACCTGACGGAGGGGGGAGAGGGTGTGGTTCTCTTTCTGGAGCGGAAAGGACCGAGATATACGCGAAGCTTTTACTGGACGCGAACTAGAGATGGGGCCGTGTCGGGACGAGTCGCAAACAGCGTCTCGATCACTCCTTCGTCAGCGAGCGTGCTGAGGTCTCCGAGGGTTCGATTGTTGACCGCCACGCCACGCAAGATTCTGCGCATGATCTTCCCAGAACGAGTTTTCGGGAGTACGGGACAGGCATGGATGACGTCAGGTGCCGCGAAGGGTCCGATTCTCTCACGAACTTTATCCCGCAATTGCTTGGCAATGTAATCACCATACTCGTAACCCTGGAACGTATCACATAGTTATCGTCTATCGTATTTGTGACGAGCTCAGCGGGAAGCGGGTAGTATGCGGGAATTATTTTATGCTCATATCCTTCAGAGGTCGAAGCCGGGACGACTCGCTCACTATTCGCTATGTGTTTACCTCTTTAAGTGTCACGAAGCAATAGAGACACTCTCCCTTAACGGGATGCGGAGCCGCAACAGCAGCCGCCTCGGCGATTGCTTCGTGTTCGATAAGGGTGGATTCCACTTCAGCAGTCGATAGGAGATGACCGGACACGTTCAGCATGTCGTCCATGCGACCAGTGACCCAGATATAGCCGTCCTCGTCCCTACGGCCGCCGTCCCCAGTACAATAGTATCCTGGGAATTTCTTGAAGTAGGTCGTCTCGAACCTCTCATTGTCCCCGAAGATCGTCCTCATGGTAGACGGCCAGGGTCGCTTGAAGGCGAGGTAGCCTTCGGCGCTTCCTGATAGTTCTTTCCCGCTCTCATCGAGGATGGCGGGCTCGATTCCGAAGAACGGAACGGTCGCGGAGCCGGGCTTCGTAGAGATCGCTCCGGGAATTGGAGTTATGACGTGGCCACCTGTCTCTGTCTGCCAGAAAGTATCCACGATGGCGCAATTCTCGTTGCCCACGATGCGATGATACCAGAGCCAGGCCTCGGGATTGATGGGCTCTCCGACCGTTCCGAGAATTCGGAGGCTAGAGCGCGAGGACGAGCCTGTGACCAAGGCATCCCCTTCTTTCATCAGGGCTCGGATCGCCGTGGGTGCGGTATAGAATTGAGTGACGCCGTACTTGTCGATGATCTGCCACAACCGAGCACTAGTGGGATGGAACGGAGTTCCTTCAAACTGAAATAAGGAATATCGGATCGGTCAGCGGAGCGAGAGTTGAGCGATAGAAGGATCGCTCGAGCCGTCGAACGTCCCGATCGGATTAGGAGAGCCCCGCAAATTCCGAATATTAATCCAGCTCACAATAACACTGGTGGCGCCGTTGAGCAGAGGTCCGTAGCAGACGTAGGAGTGCCCCGTGATCCAACCGATGTCAGCCGTGCAGAAGTAAACGTCTCCGATATGATAATCGAAAACGTACTTGAACGTAGTAGCCGTGTACAGCATGTATCCACTGACGGTGTGGAGGATCCCTTTGGGCTTTCCCGTAGATCCGCTGAATGCGAAAAAGAGGTCTTAATGATAGCCGACAGATCGACGACGGAGAGATTGCTGTTCCGCGAAGAGAGCCGACAGAGCGAACTCGAGTAATTGTCACTCATCGAGTTAATGGACATTGGTGTGTGAAGATCCCGCGCGCACAGTAGCAAATAACATTGTGGGCTGCTCACCTGGTATAGAGAATGAATAGGGGGTCCTCAGAGTCCAGCCACTCGGGAGCGCAGGTGTCGGGTTGGTTCTCGACCGCCTCGTGGAACCAAGTATCCACGGGTCCGAGTCGCTCCTTGAAAGGGGCATACGGGCGTTTGCCTTCAATCGAGGGCGCCTCCGCTCCCGCTTCTGGGGTGAGGTGGCGGACCACGAGACAATTATCGACTTCGTAGCCCTGTTGAGAAAGCTTCTCGAAAGCTTCGTCAACAATTTTCTTCAAGTTGATGAGTTTATTGCCCCTCCAAGTCCCATCGCAGGTTATGACGAGCTTCGCTTTGGCGTCCATGATTCGCTCCGCGAACGCATCCGATGAGAACCCCGCGAAAACAATCGAGTGTACGGCTCCGATTCTCGTGCAAGCCAGCATCGAGACAACGAGCTCAGGGATCATGGGCATGTAGATGGCGACCCGGTCTCCTTTTTTGACGCCTGATGGAACCAATGAAGCGTGAGCTTTCTGACCTTGCCACCGAGAGATGGACAGCTAAGCTAGTGGAGTCCACCCAATGTGTACTTATGCGGAGAGAGCCCCACGAGAACCGAGAGTGCTATTTCTTCCGTCAACACCAACGCTCCATGCTATCCGGACAGATAAATCCGGAGTAGCCTCGTGAGGGCACAGCCAACTCGATTCTGGCGTTTGGGGGTGCGGCCAGTGGGGAGGACGGTACGGAAAACCGCCAAGATCGAGTATCCCCAAGCGAGAGGAGCGTGGTGTGCTCGAGATCATTTCGAACGCAACAATTAAGATAACTCCGGGAATACATGAGGTCGTCCTCGCCTATTATTTACCTTTCGAACGCAGGGCGTTGGCGAGCTTGCAGACCTGCCGCAAGAGTTCGGTATAAGTGAGGGATGACGTGTCTTCTGGATCATTTCCCTCCCTGGAAGGTTTCAACATGAGTCATATAGAAGCGATCCAATGTTTTCTTTGAATTCCATCGTCTCCGTGTGGATCGCAGGTTCATCTTTTCACTGTACGGGTCGTAGCTAGGTTTTCGAAATTTGATCACCCGTTTGACGGATGTTTCGAAGGCTAATCGTCCACTGAAACCCGGAGCTCGAGGGCGCCTCCGTGGAAGAAAAACTTTTCCGCAATCGCTGGGATTTCCCACTCATGTCCCAAGGCATCATCTCGGGTGAAGGTTGAATCACTACGACTAGCGAGCAGCCGGAGGAAGTACTTCACAAAGAATGTGTTCGAAGACGCGTTCTTGGACCGCCTGGCGACAGACAGTAGAATCTGGACATGCGAATGTCCATTTCCGCATGAAGATTGCCGCTTGCTGCTTAGCAACATCGGAAACAAGTAATCAGTAAACTTCTGAATCTCGTCTCGCGTCCGCTTCTGAGTTAGATTGCGTCGGTTCCTATCAATCATTCGAGACGAATTGGGTACTGTGACCGATTTCATCATGGGGAGCGGCCGTTCATCATCTTCAAAATCATTAGCACTCGGCTTCTGACCGATGCCGGATAGGGTCATCGGTAGCGCCAACGGTACCGACGAGACTCTCTGCCAGCTTCGAGCAAACCACAGACAATCAGCTCTCTATGATCAGACCGATGTTCACGTTACTTTCTCGCGGAACATTTGAAGCTCCGAATGGTCTAAGGAGTCTTTGTTTTTCACTCCGAAAGATTACACGGAGCGATAAATGGCCCCATATGGAAGGGCTCCCGAAAACACGGGCGGGGGGAGCTAATTTCGATCGCTCGGAGATGGTTTGATATAGGGAATCGATGCGGTATGGGTGGTGTGTTGTCCTTAGACCCTAGGCACTCTATGCACAGATTCATTCAGTGCACAGGTTCGCATTGCGAAGCCTCGCTAGACTGTCGCCTCATTCACGATCCGCATCCACGGACATTCAGCGATTCCTTCATGATAAGCTGCGATTCATCTTGTCCGCGAGGAGGAGTGCCGAAGGAAATGAGGTTATCACCTGGATCACGACTTCCGCAGGGAGCGATGAAATTTATCGAATGGCGGAAGCGGCAATGAATCGCCAGCCGAATTCGCGAACGACTCTCGGATCCGAACTCTTGGAGCCCTGAAAACCTGATCGACATACCCTAATTTTCCCGAAGAACGGGATCGATTTTCGGGGGAAGATTTCAAGCCCGAGTCGGGAGGTGTAAATCTCAATGCCGTAGACCTCCCTGTGAGTCGGAAACAAATCTCGGGAATGCCGGCTTATAGGATTCTATAATACGGGAAGTTCACCGCTTAGCATTCAACTTCATGCGTCCCGTGACGAGAACCATGTTTTTATCCGATGAGACCGCTTGCTGAAGGTCACACTACTTCGAGCGAATCTTCACGAGTGCCTCACGCAAGGATGAACGTCGCCGTGAAGAAGGCAGACGGACGTATACATCGCTCCCTCGATCGACGACTCTCCATTGGATTTTTTTCCGGAGGGACAACCGCGACATGAAAAGGAGAATCGCGGAATCACCCGTTGCAAACATGTCCATCTTGCGATCGAGGATCATTCAAACGACCGGCCTCTCGAAGCACCGAGCCACAGGTGGGGAAATCAATTCTTCGGCGGGGGACGCCGTCATTCCAGAAACAGAGTCCCTTCTGGAAAATCATGGCGACATCCGGTTGCCGTAAACCGTACGTCACACCATGCCCGTCAGGGCGACGCGGCACTTCCACATTCGAACCAGCTTCCTGTGAGCGCTAATCTTGCGGGAATAAGCATTTGAGAAGAAATTCTGGATCGCTGATCCGGACTGAAAGATTCGATGTATCTCGTTTCTATATCGAGGGCGGATGTGACGTCAACAAGGCGACAAGCTGGGAGAGCTCTCCCACCGAGAAAGACCGTCCTCAGCGACGGATTACTCCCGCGGGAGCGGGTTCTTGATGAGGAAAAACAGATATCATACCTCGGAAATATTCTGAATAATTCAGCTCCCCGACCGATCTCCCGGCTCGAATAAGGAACAACTCGGTGGGCAAATCTCATTATTGGATAACTCGGGACGAGTGAATGCGTCGAAGCGAGAGGACAGCGAGACGCAGAAAACACTCGCTTGGAATTTTATCCTTGTGAAGTTCTTGCTCAGCTTTCCAAGGAATTTTATGACGAATCTTCTGGACTGAAGCACGCCTGAACACCTACAGAATTCAGCGGACGCATGTTATGGTGGCCACTTGACCTTCCTTGCAATGCTCTCAACCCTACGCAGGTCATCGGGCCGACAGCGTGGACTCCTTGACAATGTAGTTAATGAGAAATAATATGAGATATCTCCCAATGCCACGCCAGAAAAGTGCAGTCCCCTCGTCGACGCCACGCCGTTAGTAATCCGTCTTGTTCGCAGGCAAAGCAGCACGTGAAATTCCCTCGAGCAGGAACCCGGAGCCGGAACCCTCGGCTGCAGCCACCGTCACCAGAAGACTCGGTTTGTGGGTCAGCGGGGAGAAAGCGCCGAAGATAAAATAGAAAACACCACGAGAATCGACGCTCTTTGATTCGCGGACACGAGATATTCCAGCAGTCGGAATCGAAAGTATTTTTTCCAGACGGTGAAGCTGACTCGCCGTGCAACTGGTTGTTGTTCCGCGGGTTTCGGAGCAAACGGAGATGGATTTATAGCGCGAAACATCCTCACTGAATGAATAGGCTCCATGTGAGACCTGAATACAGCACCGCGTCGCAGAACATCGAGTTTCCTACTTCCGTCTATGCTGAATGTCAGAATACAACGACCAGTCCGTGTCTATGTCATTAATCAGGGAGATAAAGACTATAGCGAACAACCTGAAGATGACCGCGGTCCTCATTGAGCGCAGTGACTCCCAATTATCGAAAACTTCCGAGATTCACGATTCCGAAAAATCCACTGGCGTTCAGGATTCTGGATATCCAATTCATTCCCCGCCCCCCCCCCGCTGCGCGATAGATCCCGGGATGCGACATATAGAAATTCGGGACTAGAAGCGCCGGAAGCAGAACTCACCAGAAGTACGCGATGTTGTCTCCGAGTCCCCTCTCAATGTTCCGGTCGAGAGCATTGTAACATATATTGGTTTTGGCGCCTTCCATGCATTTGACAAAGATTGGGCCGTTGTTGACGTTGAAATTGTAGTCGAACACTTTGCCACTCAGAGGTTTTTCCCAGTGGAACTGCTCGGCGATCTCCTTCCAGAAGCCTTGAGGATCGTCCAGGGAGCGCTTGTAGAGCGCATCGTATTCAGCCTTGCTTTTGATGAAGGCTATATCGCGCACGCGTGAATTCGGCTCGTAGAGTTGATCAGCCATGTTCTTCTTGTTGATCTTATTGTTGACCTTGACGTAGGAGGTTCGGTTCTGGAGCTGTTTCGGTCGTTTATTGCTGAATCGGATATCGCAACCTTGCTTCGCCCTGCAGCCTCGGAGTGGAGACGAAGACCTCTTGAGCACGGGGCAGGTCAGCGAGCACAGACACGTACACTCAGTGTCTCCGCTTCGAACTATGGAGACGGATACGACGGGAACAGAGAACTCGATTAGACAACTGTTCGCCCCGACTGGACGATCGGTAATGGAGCCAAAAAGAAAAATTCTTTCTCTCCGACTGCCAGTCGACGACGAGTCCTCGCTGATGATCGCGGACTGACAGCAATGGAGCTCTGAGCAGCGCCGAAGTAACCCGGGAGCCACAAGGTGAGGGAGAGACAGCGGACTGAAGGCCGAAAGCGCATGCGCCGATTCAAACAGCGATCACCCGAAACTACAACCACCACCATCGTCAAGCAATCACTACTGAAAAGAGCCGCTCGGGAATCAGCTGTTACCGTAATGGATCTAGTAGCGTTCTATAGCGTTATCGCTCGGGGAAGCGATAATAGCCACGGCCGCAGAAGGTATACCCACGGAGAAATCAAGCAGACAGACAGAAAGATGGGGAAACAACATTCACTCCGACGGAGACAGAAATGCGAAACGAGGCGAGAGACTGCCGCGAGGAAATAGAGACGCAGATGTAGGAGGAAGCGGGAAATGAAAATCTCGAGTGTTGGCGGCAAGAAAATGAGTGACGCCGCTCGCATGATGATGAAAAGAAGGAGGAGGAGGGTAGGGTGAAGCCACAGACTTGATTGCGGCCTTCTAAACTGGAGTTTTTCCAGGTGGAGACTTATACGGGACTCAGAAGAGGATTCCTCGAAGAAATCATTCGACATTTCAGACGATGAAAGTGCAAATTCAAAGCCAAAAATGTTTAGAACTGGTTCGTCCTGACCGGATCGAGCGGGAGGAAAATTCGCTACATGCTCAATGGAACCGGATCAGGTTTCCCCGGGAAGGCTCGTTCTGACGTCAGCCTTGCGAGTGCAAATGAGAAGGGGGGGGGACAGATCTGATTTTTGTGGATGTTACCTCTCGAACGAGAGAATCTGCTCCTCGATTGCCCCCTGCGTCGCTCTGATCTTCCAATCGTCCGATTCGACGACTTTCCGCTCGCGAAGATCCTCCTCACGCGTCGAATAGATTACTGACGCTCCTGCACTCGAGACTGATATGAAAACTTCCAAGCGCATCCTAGCTGAACGGAACGTTTTTCGACCCCAATCAAGATTTTAAATGACCCGAGGAAAACCTTGCCAGAAAAAAGCGAGCTGCGAAGCGAAGGATTTCTGAGATCCGACCATGATTCCCAGAATGGATACGCCAGGCATACCTACTCGGTACTTCTTATTCCATAACTTATGCCATCCCATAAGACATAAATTCCAGTACGCATACGATCAATGCGGGTTCTGGGGGTCGGCGAAACATGCGCCATTTTCTTGGGGGAGAGAGGTTTCAGCCATTAGGACGTTACAAGTGGTCCCAATAAAGTCTTGACGGTATGTGACAATGCAAGAGATTCCGTGCGCTTAACCGATTAGTCACAGACTAGCCGGGAAATGTGAATCACAGCCAGTGCGCTCGGTGTGAGGGATACTTCGAGAGGCATTACTCCTGCTCACGCATGCACAGCTCGATGAGCGGCTTGGAACGGCTGTACTCACCACAATCCATGGCTTAGCCCTGCAGATTGACTTCTCTGCCGGTATGAGGAGCGATACACTTCCGGTGATAGCTTACAGTGGACTGTTTCCTCTCGGAGTGAGACACTCGCTTTAGGTGGGCTCGAATATGCCGGGCGCTTTTTAGGCGCTTGTCGCGCCCTCTCAAACACTCTCTGGAAAACAGAGAGGGCATTAGCATTCGAAAAGCTACACGGACAGACACTCTCGATTTCGGAGCCAGGAGAGAGCGGAACACGCGACGACTCGTTCGGGGAAAGCTTCCGATCCTGTTGCTGAACTGTTCGAAATCTCATGCTCCGCTCACAAGCGTAAGTAAGCCTGCGCTGATGCAGGTTCGGAGAGAGCGGAAGTCGGTCTGCGTCGTGAACTGAGATTCACCGTATGACGGCGAGTCCTGCGCCGAGACCCTCGACTGACTGACTGATTAATTAATAAGCTCATTGGCCGAGAGCATATGCCCGATCCGAATCGACTCCATCGATAGGACACCGAAAGCACGTCGCAGGAAGCAGACCGACTTCGGCAGGAGAAATTGACTACATCGATCGAATTACAATCACGACACTCTGATTCAAAGAACTCGTCGTTGTGGTCAATACACGGTATACCTCTTCGTCACTCCCAGAAACCGCGCCGCTGGCGAAAGAATTCCCGAATCGATTGGGGTTCTCGAGGAGAAACGGGGACGCAAGACATTGGAGGCTACCCGCAAGGCTGTGTTTGAGGGGTGGATTTCAAGTCATGCGTCTCGAGAACTCTTCCCGTCAGATATCTCCATCTCCTCCCATCATGTTGACATTTTATCATGGGAAACATCGCACACCTCGAGTCCGTGCACTGGAGGAATTTCGTGCTCGCAAGACGATCGAGTCTTTCTCTCTCATGAGACCATGGACAATTTAGACTCACTCCGTTGTGGGCGACCGGGTCGGAGAAGCATGTCACGAAGACCTGGTGTCGCTCTTCGACTCGTCGTTCCAATTCGTTGTCGTCGTTCACTATTATTGTACGGCGATGCTGTCGATTGGTCACGGGCTGTGCGATGGCAGTCGGTGTCATTTCCATTGCTGGGACTCGTGTTGAGCGATGTATCGACTTACGTGTGACGGAAGTCTGTCATGAAACTCGGATTTTCCCCCTATTTTCAACCGGTTTTCGGGCGCGGATCCGAGGCTACGATTTGTTTTGGCGCCACGTCGATTGCGGCGTCCGTCTGGCCTCAGTGAAGACACGTGACGACAACACGCGCAGCGAAACGTACTCGGACCCCCGCTTTCCCCTTCCCCGTAAGTGGCGGAGCGAGTTCCCATCTCCAGAGCTTCCCATTGTCGGGAGGGGATTCTATGCGGAGCGGTCGGAATAATCTTTCGTCACGGATAGTCTGCAAATATCTTCAGTCTAACACGGGAAAGGCCGACCCGGATGATGGAATCTAAATCAAGATCGGAGTCTGGTCGAAGTTCAGATCATCTCTCTCTCGCGGAAACTCTCGCGGCGCGAGGCTCCGATTCCGGATCAACGCAAATAAACCTTCTCCAAACTCCAGACACTGCCGTTCTGAGCGCCCGTCTGGGAATTGTGATGCCTCGCGGGGTGGAAGACATCGCTCATGCACAAATTAAGAGCGAGGCTCATCAGATGGATGAAGACTTGGATCATCGGAGATCTCTCGTCGGACACTGTCCGCGACGATTCCTGCGGTCATTCGCAGCTTCCTACGTTTTTTCGCGGCTATCTGAACTCCCGCCCCTCGCGAACAACCCATGTGCGAGAAACCGCCCGTGCGATCGTTTAGATCCTCCCCGACGAGCATCGATGGCGTCGGCTGCGGCCGGTAGTCGTTGGGTATCTCACGATATGACTACAGGGATCGGGACGAAGCTCGAGTAGAACACTCCTCGAGAATACCCGGGACTCTCTAATTATGGGTGTACGGGTTACGACCCTGCGATTGATAGCTCTCCACCAGAGCCGATGCGTTGAGTATAGACTGTTCGTCTCTTGGGGGTTGACCTACATAATAGAATTTTCGAGTCTCAGATCCTCTAGAAGAAGTGGGACAGAGATCTCGGAGCGAAGTCTTCGAGCGAATAGGCAGTTCAGGAATATGAGATTTTGTCGGATCCATCGGTTCAAGGTCACCCCTGTGGGATTCGAGTCTCGTCTGTCATCGTTTCATTGTCGGCTATTCGTGGCGTTTCCATGATGAGCCGCAGGAAGGGCGAATCATGGAATCGCGCCATGGCTCGTCATCGTGGAGCGATTCCGTCCCGCACTCGACAGCATGGTGTGAAAGGAAAGGGAATAACTCACGCAGCCACCGTTTATAATCGTTTTGCGGCGGACGCTATCGCTATAATCGAAGCGAACCCCAAAATAGGTGGACTTGATCGAACCATGCAGAACATCACCGTTCGTTTTCGAGACCCAGTTACCCACTACGATTCGAATGAATCATCTGCAAGCCGAGGAATATCCTTTTTCGATTCAGAGACACATTGAACTCCGTCTAACCTTCGCTCAAGAGGATCGGAAGTTTCTTTCGGTCTGATCTATTGCACATTGTGTCTCTTGTATCTATGTCGTTTCTCCGATCGGTGTGAACGGGCGAAAATACATACCCAATTTTGCTCAGCCCATGAGGGAAGCCGCAGGATCGTCGCAGAGTCGGGAACCGCGAGAAAAGTCTCGAGCAACAGGTGAAATAGCAGGACTTGAAACGATTTCAGCACGAGATCTTTCTACAGTGTCGGTCTCTTTTGGAAAGCGCTCCCGGAAACAGTTGACGGAACCACTCCATGGGTACCGTCGAGGATGCACATACTCGTCCGGAAATAAATTGGAATGATACCCTCATAGATTCATATTATGAAGGATCACAGAAGAATTCGTACTTCGGCCGAATTATTCATACGAGGTAGGAGCCTCGCTAAAATCGTACGCATCCGAATGATGAATCCCTTCAAGTCGTGGTTATGTGGAGGCAGAGACCGGGATGAGAAGAGTAGAATACAAAGGACACAAGTCTCCGAAACCTTTTTCTGATCGAAACCTTCATTTTGGAAAAATCAAATACTCGTTCAGGACATTTCCTCTTCATCCGGATTGGCGCAGAAGATTACGCTCGAGAAGCGCGGCTTTCGATTCCCCCGCTGGAATGTTTCCTCTCCGATCGTCCCGCTCAGTTGAACCTCCGGTGTACTCGAGCCAGAATGGTTCGTCGCGACACGATCCGATAACGCAGTGTTCATTCCAGTGCTTTGGGAGCGCAAGCGAGACTCAGAAAGAGCAAAGTAAACCTCTCTCGTTCAATCACACAATTTCTCTATTCTGGTTTCCAGTGGAGATTAAAAACCGGGGAATTTGTTGGAGGCTCCAAATGTGAGCTCGAGTATCCAGAATGGGGACCCCCGATTGACCATCGAGTGAGCGCTCGAGCATACGGGCGAGCAGTGAGATTGAACATCGACGGGGCCATGTAGATTCCGCGACTCAGAATGAATGTGTCGGTGGTCAACAGACGATGCAGTCCTGGAATTCGCAACGATAATCGAGAATATGCATCTCGGGCGGACTATGAACCGGATGGAAATAGATACGCGCAGGACTGGCGCGAACGTAACGGGCACTCAATCTCGTAGGGCGGCTACGCATTCTTTGTCGCACCGGAGATGATCTCTCGGGGAGGCCCGATGAGCAGAGGAAGTTGCTGAACTCCCCAGATTCCCCTCGTTGAAGGTCGGATGTGCGTGGAGTGAGCGAGCCAGCCCTGTCCTTTCCGGGGAGATCGACAGAAAGATCCGATGCTCACCAGGTCACGCGCTGTATTTCTCGGGGCCATTGACAAAGTCTCTCCAAGCAGACGTTCCGACTTGGCGCATGATAAGAAGACCATGTCCACAGCGCTAACGCGGAATGATGCGTGCCATTCTAGACTTCCTCCTCCCAATTAAGAGTGTACGGCCGGTAGAACTAGAATAGCTCGCATATCATCGAAATCCAGAACTATGTTGGCGAAATCCTTGTTCACGATGTGAATTTCGAGGCATGTTGGGAGGATATGGAGTCCAGCAAGAAGAGAGGACACTTTCCGGATGTCTAGATTGATCTCAGCGGGACCGCACTCTGTAACGAATCATTCAGTGAGAGAAGAGCTCCGACCCTCTGATCCTGAAAATCGCGGCTCGCACACCCCAGTGAGCGGTAGAGATTCGTCAATCGACTCACCTCGCGGGTATTGTAAGTCTTTGAATGTCGTCACGATCCGAACTTGCTGAGGGATTTCCGCTGAGACTTTCAGCTCGAGATCTCCATCGGAGTCTTTAGTAACTCGGAACGAGCATATATTTGAAATGGTTTTTATACGTTCGATGAAGGAACGGAAATGATTCACCTGCGAAATCCTTGATTAGTCGATCTCTTCTGTCCATGAACGGCATGGAGCGAAATCCGGCTCATTTTCTCTTCTTACCTGATACGATCGAATCTTGGCATCCATCTCTTCTCGTTCTTCGATTCTCGTCCAATCGGCCACCGGGATAACCTGCGGTACCGCGAGACATTGATGAACGATTCGTTGATATGACTCTCCCCAATTTGGATATTCGGGTGGACCTCGCATTTTCGCGTATTCGGCCCAAGTTTTGCGATACCTACTCGAACAGGTATATCGTGGGAAACACATCTCTGTGCACTCATGGCGGACGGCAGTTCCGCCAAGGCGACGAGTACCGGTGTGCTCTTCTTGGACAATTTAATCTGCAGTGAATTCGAGTTCAGTTGCTGTCATCGCTTCATAAGCGACGGGAGAATTATTCAACTGTAGAATGCTCGGAAATTCCAGAGAAGGGCTCGCGTTTATGCGATGAACCTCTCGGAAAACTTGCCTTGAAGCTGTGGGCGGAAGATGCGTGCTTCAGTACTTCGAGGAGGACCGATATTGGAACCTCGAGATGGATTTCGTTCAGCTCTTCAGACACCCCTGACATGATGTAGTCAGTGAACAGCTCCTCCTGCGAAAAAAGATGATGTCCTAGTTAACCTTGCGGACGAAATGATGCCCCAGTTAGCCAGGCAAAAAAAATTGTGTCTCAGTTTAGTCTCACTGCCTGAGCCGGGGATCGAAAGCGGAAAACCTGATGAGCACCTTGTCTATCGATATTTTCACTCGCAGTCCCCCCTTGTTGGCTGGTTCGATCACCATCAGATTCATGGAGTCTTCCGTGAGTTGAAGGTCGACATGTTTGGCAACTTTTGATGTCATATGGACAGCTCCTGGCACAGGAAGAGCGTTTCGTGTTATTTCGCGAGAGACGAGAGACACGGCATATGGGAACCCAAATCGAACTCGCCATTATTGCTTGAGTTCCAGGTTCGCGCCAGAGCAACTCACTCAAGAAGACTTGGAGTCCTCTGACACTGTCTGTGATCGCCCCCCGAAACTTCATCCTTTCGTTCGTCTGAAGAAAGATCAGGAAGTACAAACTTCTCCGCACATGATGTTGTTTGCCCGCGGTCCGAATCGAAGTCTACACGGTCATGTAGAAAATCGATGATGATGGTGATCTCTGCTTGGAGATCCTAAAACTCCCCCCCTGAACCCTGAAGTCCTTTTTTTCTCTCTACTCGAATTGATCGAAAGAAGGAGGCGAGCCTCCGAGCATTCCTTCGGAGAACTCGGCATTCCGAACGCAACAGTCTACTAACCAAGGCCTACTCGATCGCCAAGGACTACTCGATCCTCCAATCCTCGGGAGAAGTCAGACACGTAAAAAGTCTCTGGGCTTATACTTGCTATACGACCTGCTACGAAGAACGTGGTGACTGGTGACCCCGTCTAGGCAGAAAGGCGGAGCAGAGCAGGTGATATCGTTGCGCCGGATATAAGGGCTGTATCAAGTCCAGCGTCACGTGGTATATTTTCACCTAAATCAATTGTATTTCACTCACAACTCACAATGTCCGACTCTATTCTTTCCGGAGTGGTGATGATCGGCTGATCCACTCTTTGCCATCGGGAAACCTCGGGCACATCGAGATACCGCATTCGATCCACGATGGAGATGTCCACGATGACGCATGAGCGCATGAGGTGTAGGGACCAGAGCCGGGGTTTGAGTTTCCTCCTCCGTATCCGCGGGGAGGCATCATTGTATTTCATGATTGTTCTTATATAACAGCCTCTTCTGGATGTCCAGAACGTTCCCATCAATGATCGGAACGTCCGGAAACTGTGGCTCGATTCTGCTTCCGCGCTCCGCGAGGATCATAGCCTGTCCTCTTTCTCAAAAGAAAATGCATAAATCATGGTCATCATCCGTATATCACCATCCGCCATCTTTTCTCGCGGTCAGATGACGTCTCGCGTCGTTCTTGTTCGATCGCGCAGAATCGCGGCGGGCCCTTTAGGCCGCCAGAATCAGCGGGGCGAGAAGGCCACTATGCGCGATCTTCGATGCTCTCACTAAGAGGAGCCTCGGCTCGGAAAACGGTCAATTCTCGATTCAGTATCCATCCGGTTCAGAGAAGTATTTTGTAGGTCGCGACCGATTAGAAGGAAAAGTTTGGGACGCCCGATTTAGTGAACCGCTCGCAATAATGAACGAATTCAGCACGTCCTCAACGACCCCTGCTTGTTGAGTTGATCGAGAATATAATGCTTCCTCTCGATCCTATCCGGAGAAACACCGAATCCCTCTCGATTCGTAGCTCCTATGTCCAAAGGAGAACGTCTTGATCTTCGACTTTTCTGGAGGATATCGAATCTCTTCTTTTCCGCTTAGACTTCATATCCATAAAAGGATATCGCTTTCCCCCCATTGGAGGTCTGAAGGGTAACCCTCCATATGTATGGGTAGCATATACGAAGATAGTTCATCCGGATCGCTGAGTACAGAGTATTCGATTCATAATCAGGGAATCCTTATAATATTCTGCTGAACCGGGCGCAGCGACGGTCCCAGGGGCGAAGGCGAACGTAACTGAAGCAATGTCAAAGGATAAAGGATACCTCCAGTAGAATTACATCAAGAGAGCCTCGGTGTGTGTCGTAGTTTGTCTGAACAGTCCTGACTTATTACACATGTGGACCATGGACTGTCCGGATTTTCGAATCGGGCGCGGGCTCTGTCAGCCTCGGAGGCGGGCCTCCTAGGGTTTGAGCTCGGTCTAGGGTCTCGGAGGAAGAGTCAGCTGTTTGAGACGATCCTCGAGAGCAACATGTAGCTAACGATGATGACTTGAAAGGCGGCTCCCGTGAATTTTCGTGGGAAAGTTGTGGAACAATCGTAGGAGAAATGTTGGTGAATCAGCACGCGATCGACCCGCACATGGGATGCGTAAGTGTTTTCCTGAATCGACTGGGTCGAACGGAGAGGTGTTCTCATCACCGGCTCCTTGGGACCATCCTCGATTTTCATCTATCGGCTCTGTGACCACGCGATTCCCCTATTCGGAGCACGAGTTTCCCTTGATTCCACGACTAGCAGCCGGAGATGCGCTTCCGTCGCATGCTGACTGGAAGATAATAAATAATAATCTCTCGGTTTATTTTCCATTCAGGCTCCTAGTTCAGATTCTATCGTTCATTTCCAGCCCGGTGAACTCGACGGTCCCGCGTACATCAAACGTGTGAGAGACTTATTAGACAACAAACCTTTCGAAATCAAGCCGGACGACCGGAGGGCCTTCAGAGTTCTGGTTCATCATTTCGCCCATAATAGGGATCGGAACCTCATGCGACCGTGCTTAGACATGATCCTATGTCGAGGCTTCCACTGCTCAGCGTATCAACCCGGTGACTACACCGGTGTCGTGTGTCGTGTGCCGGAACCGTGCTGTTCACAAACGAAGCTCTTCATCGAATTTATTCATTTCTTCCGAGAATTCCATCGGAAGTCATCGAGATTCTCCTTGCGTAGAAGAGAACTGATGCTCTTGGACGCCATGCTGATTCTAAGTCGAGACGTCACCGAGGAAGAACTTCTGGAATTCGAAGAAACCAGCGCTGAAGAGGTCGCTCTCATATTCGAACATCAACAAATAAGATTAATCGATGAAGCGCTCGTCATGAGCAAGGGCTTCAACATGGACAAACTTGGCGACTTGGAATTTTTTCGTAAAGCCCAGAAAGTCCGTGACCGTAACGGGATAACTCGCGATACTCGTCCGGTGCGGTGTTATGAGTCGACGGAAGATATAGCAGCCATAGAGGAACAACTGGAGCGACAGAATCCCCTCGAGTTCCTCGTTCAATCTCACGCTATGGGCCTGATCAATTGTAGACTTTTGCGGACCATGTACCACACGGCAACGAACTTCGATCAGCTCGTGAGCCTCTTGGATCGAACTGCGGACACCCGTTCGGCATACGAGGATCCGAATCAGAATCGAGAACATGCCCGGATGTTCATCGCGGCCTTCAGTCACATCCGGAGATTGCAACCGACTTGGTTCCAAGCGATGTTGTTGTTCCTAGTGGGCGTGGATGTTCCCGACGGCTGGCATCTACCCCGCACGGATCTGGAGTCGATCCCGGAGCGCTGTATCGATATTTATCTAAATTATCTCCTCGTTTACTCATTCAAATGCCTCACGAAACCTGAACCTCGCATCGATGACCTCGAATTGATGAACAACCTCTCGAAACTACCGAACATTGTCGACCGATTGATAGCCCGAGGTGCGTCTCTGAGCTTTGCGGTGCATTCACACAGAGCCATCAGGAAGCTGCTCTACAGATATTGTCCAAGCATTTTGCTGAGGACTGCCTATGTCGAAAAACCGTGTCCGATGCTATCGAGTCTAGGTGCTCTGATCAGACTGACGCAAACTCGGAGGGAGTTGATTTTTGGCGACTGGCTGTCTGATCTCTGTTGCCCTGTGACGAGACAGGATACGGAAATCGTCTACGACACCAATCGGGTGTCTGCTTTGAAATGTCTTGCAGCTCGGACGTATACGTTGGACAGGGATATCGAAGAGCTGCCCGTTCGCTTACGGGGAATGATTCTTCTACATCAGGACCTCAAGCAGGTTATAAGCTCGAGAAACTCGTGATACGAAAGCACCGCACGCTGCCTGGGCGAGCTCATTCAAGGCAAGAGGATCCTCGAGACGTCTCGACTCCAGACGCCTCTTCTGGGTTTTCAATACGGAAAGGTCCTACAGGGGTACTGGAAGAAGACCATGTCATTGCGTCCACTGTCGCTCCGGAAATATTCAGTCCTTGATCCCGTGGGGATTAGACTTAGAGCGATATATCTTGTTTCAGTGATAATGATCGAATAGCTGTCTTCTCGAGTTATTTATCTCGGGGCTCATGATTGGAATTACACCCTGTTGCCTCATTGGCTCCTACGGGGGCTTCGAGCTCCACATGGGCCTTGATATGAGTATATCTGAGTATAACGTATGCATCGATACGAAGATATGCTGGTCGCGAGTCGCGACGACGGGTCGCGATATGATATTTTGAAAGGTGTTCATTGGCTTCAGATCAAAGCCATGTATCTCATCTATGCATGATAATTATAATAAACTAAAATAAGCAGGCAGACGAATCCTTGTGGAGAAGCTAATCAACCCAGAGAAAAGATGATGATCTGTTCTTGAGCTCCGCATGGCTGAAGAGCATTCTGAGATGGGAAGGAGAAAAACTTCCTGGGGATCGGGCCGAGTGAACCGAGAGCTCCATTCCAATCGGACAGCTATCGTAGCGGGGAGGCGGACAAGTATTTCCTCTTTGCCTTCGATCTGACGATTTCCGATCCTCTTGGATATCCTCTCATCAATGATTGGTAGGGAATAGAACGGAAACTTTCTGCTTGTCTAAATCCTGTATTCCACAACATCTGATCCTCCATGGGCGCATGAATATGTGATTAATGATTAGGTAAGTTAGTTCCCCATGTGGAAAGCGAGACAAGAGCAAATCTGGTGGGTCTTGAGAGGCAGGGACAGATAGTCAATGTCGTATATTCAAGACTTTATTTCGAGGACTATTCTCGAACTCATATCACAAGATTATTCACTTTGATTATATTCACCTCATGGAGATGCAGCTCCCTTCTGTCATATCGACACCCGGGTCTGAAAGGATGCGAAGATACGGGCTGAGCTCGGACGAGACTGGCATAGCGTTATATCGATCTGCTTGGTTTACAGTCGTTGCGCCGATCAACCTACTCGTTTTCAAGGAGTCGGACCTCTCATCTCAGTCTCTCTGAGGGTCTTCCTTCATCGCCTGGAAATTGATTCGCGTCATAAGCTCAGTATTCGAGAAAGCGATCTCATCGTGAGATTGGCTTGTTCGAACGGAGTTCATTTCACCTGTTCAACAGCTTTCATCCTTTCCAATGTTTCGCTGTTCATCTGTTTTTGATCTCCGACTGAGTCGTTGGCGGCCTTCGGGACTGATCCAAAGGCATCCTGGGTACTTCGCGTAGGATTCTGCACCATGTCGACAGCGATGGTGGGTACGATTGCCTCGCTGTCTCCAGGAGATCGTCCGAACTCCTCTTGTGCTGATCGCGCCGCGCCTGTGGCCGTCTCTCTGACGACGCCTGTAGCCGCTGTCAGTCCGCGCGCAATGTTTCCGACGATAGTTGAAGCTTTCTGAGTTGTTTCCTCAGCAGCTCTGTGGCTGTTCTTTGAAACAGCTTCGACGCGCTGCAGATTCCGATCGGCAGCCGCTATCAATTCATCTCGCAGCTTCATTGTTTCCTCAATCTCTCTCTGCAGGCTATCCGTTGCTTGCTTCATCGAGTCAGGCAAACGATATCCGGGACTTTCCTGCGGGATGGATCCATCTTCCCCTCCTTCGTCGGAGATCTCTTCCTCGTCATCCTCTTCTTCCTCTTGCCCGTCCTCCTCATCCTCCTGGAATGTCGTCCCTCTCAGCCTTGGATGCTCATCCATATTTAAAAGATTCTTGTTCTCTTTTCCTTTCAAGCGCAACTGAACAATGAGTCTTACGTCGTCGATATACTGAGCCGGCTCTAGATCTTGTCCGAAAGCCTGCACGATATCCCTCTGGTCCGTCCCGGCATTCTCCAACTGGTCGGGATCGAACTTCTCTATGGGAGGGAGAGGATATTTTTCCTGGAACACGCGAGATACGATTTGGAAACAGTAGACTCTCCAGTCGGGAGCGAGCATTGAGGTTGGGCAGTCGGGAATCGCAGCGAGCTGAGAGACTAGACTGCGGAAAAATCCGAGCACCAGCATGGAATCCTCTCTTCGTATGGTAATCCGAAGAAGGTACGAGTATCTCCGCCGACGTTCCCAGGACCATCGGTGGGGAGCGATCCCCGAAAGGGATCCTTCCGCGAGTCGGGTCGTAATAATAATCGGAAAGTTCTTCTCAAAAAGGATTCCCCGCGGTAGGTTTCGGAGTCTCTGTTCGCCCGCATTCGAGAATCGATTACGCTCGACAAGACTCACGTCTGTACTGTCCGCGATGGCCGGAGGTCGCTCCTTGGAACCGGCAAGCAAAGACAAGACGAACCATATCGGAAAGGTAACCGTGTATAGAACTTTTCGTAAGATATCCATTTTGGCAGAGGTTACCGGGACAGCCACACACCGATCAGCACGAGAAGTCAACTGGCGAGGGTAGAAGAGCCAGAACACTCTAAAAATAGACCGGAGTTGGTAGCAACTCCTGTCGAGTCTTAGTCACTGAGGGCGTCCCTTAGATTCGAACAGACGGCGCGCCAGAGCTCGCGGCGACGGCACCGCGCCATTCTGGAGTTTTCTCTGCACGACGCATACTGAGGAGGGCTGTCTCCTTTCAAGGTTCTCACCTCAGTATCGAGTCCCTCGCTCGACGATAGGGAATTAGCTCAAGAGATTGAAGTTTGAAGTGCCCACTTTCAAGATCTGTGCTCTACAATCATCCTCAAAGTCGACCCAGTGACGACACCGAACGTGCCCGAATTTCCCTCGCTATCGGTAGTCGCTTTCCCTTAGGTCCATCGATGGATACCTCAGAAGGAACCCGAGATCGGCGCGATGCCCCCCCCCCTCCTCTCGGAAAGCACGCGAGATGGCGTCGATCGCGATATTCAGTAACTCCATGGAGAGGTTTTTGACACAGATTCTCGGGCTGGTAGCCTGATCCGCCCCTCTGATCGACTTCATCAAACCGGTCTTCCTCCTCCTGCATCTTGATAAGTAGCGCTAGCGTTGCTTATCAGTCACGTGTGAGAAGTATATCCGAAGGAGTTTGACAAGATAGACAAGACACGTCTACAGGTGGCGATCGAGCTGAAACCCAAGGTGTTGGCTTTCGTCGTCGACGTGGACGCCGTTGAAAACGTGGAATCGATGGAATAACAGAAAGTTATCAGAAGGTGAAGCCGCGCCATGACGCCGCCTGCCTCGGACTTCAACGCCACAATCAGTCCTCAGCAACATGTCAGAATTTCGGTAGTGCGCGTCCCCAGTGTATGAGCGGCGCCAGTCAGTGAATGCAATGGTCAAAAGGGAGCGAGGTCGTAGGAGGATCCTTTGGACACGTTTACGAGCGTGGTATAATTGATGATCGATCAGCGCAGATCCTCTCTCTCTCTTCCTTCAAGAAAATGAACAAGGTCGGATCCACGAAGGACTGCGACGGACAAGTTCCGTCTTTGACTGAGATTACATCTCTGCGCCGCTAATCGGGCGCTTTCGGGTTAAGCGATGAAATAATATCAGAATCAAGAGTGTGGGCTGAAGGCTTTCTCGACCATCCAGTCCTTTCGCTCCATTTATTCAGAAGCAACCAACCAACCGCGACCCGGAGGCATTCGTTCATGGCGATTCCTCAGAACTTCACCTTGCATTGGTTCTCGTTCCTTCTGCTGACGCGAGTCCAACATCGAGCCAATGTCACACAATGGGCGAGCGGTCACGTATAGGGAGCGATAGATTCCCCAAAAGGGCGCATTATCACGGGGGGCATGAATGACTGTGTGCACAGCAGAAGATTTTGGGCTTATTCAATCGTTGCGTAACGATCGGCCATCGCCTCGGGGCCACCCACTCGTTATTCCGTGACAAGCCCAGTACATAGATTGGACACTTCGACATTCAGCCTTCCAGAAATTATCTTCCCTTTGGTTAATGCAGATATATAGATCGATCGATCTCCCTGAACCCTAGGCGGCTTACACGAACAATTGGAATGTCATTAAAACAACCCCTTCTGGGCAGCTGATGATCTTAGCTGCGGACACAGAGTTCTGAGTTGAAAACTCCGTGATCCGGACGGCTTTACGGAATGACTTCTGCTCGCATTTCGGAAGGCAGATTTTATAGTTGATCTGACTCAGAATTAATTTCGTCAGAATTGCGTGTCATACGGGTGAAGCAATCTTGGGGTTGCCGCGGTCTGTCATCTTCTATCTCAAAGTCGCTCACACGTTCCGGGACGTGCCCTTCTGAGGGGCTCCGGGCGAGCAACAGTCTCATCTTCGGACGAGAAATGAGGTAATCCTGGATAGATTTTACTTTCGTTCTCTCGATTCTCGCGAGTCAGATGGACTGCACGGCTGCGATTATGCTATCGTCGAACGAATAGAGCTTCGTGGGAGCCGCTCTTGGGATCCCTCATCCACCGATTAGGCTCTCGACGGATCGAACCAGAACTGATCGACCTCCCTCACACCTTTGGCGGTGATATCCCGCCGTTCCAATTGTTGCGGCAGCGAGATGGGCGGGATAGAAGAGCCCAGGAGATGTGGGATCGTACAGTCTCTGGGAGTCTGAAGTCCCGCTCTACAGTTCTACCCTTCTGGTTCGAGAACAATGAAATCACGGGGGAAAAGCGCCATCGTCATAGAACCTAACAAAAGCAACTCAGTCTAGAAGGCAGTCGCCCTTCCCATCCTCCAGGATCCGCTTTTGCCAGTCGTAGACTGCGAGCCGCCAACCGGGCTCGAAATCCTTTTCGGTGTCGGTCAGCGAGAGTTCCCTTCTTTTGGATAATAAGCACATTCCAGAATAATTTAGAAGCCGCGGAAATCGACTCACTTTCGTTTCCCGTTTGGTCATTCGAAGTCGGAGCCGTCAGAAGTATAACATTTCACCATTAGCATATCGCTTGATAAGCATGTGACTTGAATGATGCAAACATTTCAATGATAACAGCTCGCTGGAGGGTCGCGGCAGATAATAATCTAATCAGTGATTTCGGGTCCCATGTATCAGCGTTGAGATCGTATAAGCGACTGGTCAGACTCCCGTGAGAGTTCTTCCTGATTCTCGACGAGACACCGGATCCCGGATCCTGCTGGAAGGGGAGATCCCGCGAATGACTCTCATTGCGCCACGTACTTTAGGATACAGCATCGCGGATACATCAATCTGCAGCTTTCTGGGAAAGCAACTGCCTCACCTTCGTTTTTTCTCCGGAAATGGCTCAAGAAAGAGCTCGGGCCGTGTGATTCATCTGATTTGTTCCGACCGTGGCCGGCTAGACTATGGCTCGCGCGGCAGCTCCGATGGACAGTCGCGTCGTTGACTCAGAATGGTCGAGCAACCACGGAAACTGGAATGATTTGACGGAAGCCCCCTCAAAACCGATAAACTCTCCGAAAAAAAATCCGCGCCACTGGCGGATATCGCGCGCTCAGAAATCGTAGAGTCCGAAAAAGGGAATCGGATCTGCCAAGATTTCTTTTTCCTTAGTTTTCACCGAATCTTGGGCAGAGCGCGTGCATCGACTCTACGGCATACTAATTCCTTCACCAGGACCTCCGCGACATTGCTGATGCCAGCGTGACCATTCCCTCACCGTGAATGTTTGGTCTGAGGATAGCGGCAAAGCAGAATGAGCGGAAAAATTGTTCGCTGGTCTCATGATACCGACCTCGAATCGAGAATGCGTTGAGAGCTTGATTGTCCGCGAAATTTCAAAATTTTCTTCCCTATGTATTTCGGAACTACATTTTTTCATTAAGGTACTCCAGAAAACAAGAAAATTCTATGCCGGCCTAAATCTTAGCTGAGCGTGAGACTCTGCCGCAATATACGGATGCGGAGCGGTCTGCACTCAGCACGCCCGAGATGCCGCTCCGATCCTTGGACACCCCGAATTTAGGCCGGGTCCTAGTCGGTGAATTTTTCGGTGTTAATCGTGGAACCCAAGGCCCAGAAAGCAATCATCTGGGTTTGGCTCCGATTTCTGATCAGCACACACTTGACGGCGACCGGTATTCGCGACCGCGGCGACGGCGGCGACGTTCAACCCAAGTACGACTGGCGTACCTGACGTGGAAAGCTTCTGGGGAGGGGGCAATCGATATCGATTCGGACCCCGGGCCCACTCGCCGTACCGAGCTCATTGCGCAAGTCGTTTCCTTCCCCGGCTTCTGAGAGCCAGCTATATATAACCGATCTGGTAATCTACTTTCAACAAACGAGTTCACATCGTTTATTGGAAAAGACACAAGTATGCGTTTCTCTTCGATACTCGCTCTCGTGATGATGGCCATCTTGGTCTCGGTGTCGGAGAGCAAACATTTACTCCTCAGGGTGGCGGCAAAGAAGCTCGGCCCGGCGGTCATCGCTGGAGGTGCAGCTGGCGCCGCTCTTGGTCTCGGAGCCGGTATCCTCTCGGCGAAACACCACAAGAAGGATCACGGCTGGGAATCCCACGGTTGGGAATCCCACGGATGGGACGAAGGATGGGCACCCGCCCACGGATGGGAATCGTAAGTGTCATCCTAGTCGTTCGGGGAATGTTTCGAAAAGGTTTGGGAGTCTGTGATCTCCGACGATTATTCTGGTTTCACGAGAGAAGGAAGCGAGCCCCCATGTCTCGGGCCCTTCCGCAATTCCTGGTCTCCGGACCGGAAGGCTCTCGCTGCCGGACCCTCCCAAGACCTATCGTGATATCGTTCCCTAGTGTGTGCGATCGAGAATGTATTCATTCAGTTCGTAATTCAATTCGCCCTCTTAACCGCTGGATAGGGATAGCAAAAGAGATTTGAATGAAACTTCGCCGCTAGGTCGGCATCGATTCATAATGGAATTGTGGCGATTTCTTTCCGACGCGTCGCCACACTGAATTCTCGACACGTCCAAATACAAACAAAGGATTCGAATAGAGAGAGGCTGATTCAATTTTGGGTGTATGTTTGATGTTTTCTCTCTATTTTCAGCAGTGGATGGTGGTAGAACGTGAGTTGAGTCAGCACGAAATCACCGTGTAAATAATTCCATCCCCGCATTACTGTCATGGTGTGAAACATCTAGTAGATATCATCATGGCGATCTCCGATGAGCTCGACTTCCTTCCCCACGTCATCTACTCAGCAGCCTCACTTTCTGCTAACCCTTCACCCTGGTAGTTCTTGCAAAATGTGTTCCGCGGGAGTTTCTCGTCGGATCGCCACTTATTCTGTGTCCCTTAGTGTATCGTCTGTCTGTCTGTCGGTTATAATTGTGATAAATAACCTTTCCTTGTAGAAATGATGGAAATAATTTTGTATCTGTGGCTTGGAGATTCGACAAGCCTAATTGATGCCAAGAGGTTAATACTTTTCTAGTTAGTGTAACTCACTACT